GGAACGTCAAAACTTATGATTTTTATCGGCCAGTATTATCGTCTTGTCATTCCGTTCCACTATTAAATAAAAAGAAAAATAATAGTCAGATACGTATTGTAAATAGTAAAAACAAACATAACACCAAAAAAAAATAAAACTGAAGAAGGAGAAAGATATCTCCGAGACGTCTTAAAAATATAAATAATTAATTATTAAAAAAATCAGAAAATAATTAATAATAAAAAACATTAAAACAAAAGGAAGAGAAAAAACGAAATTATAATGACCTTCCTAAACACATGCAATTAATAAGATAAAAAGGTCTACTATAAATATTATTATTCATTTTTAATCTGCTTCTTTTTAGCAACTACGGCTGATGCGCATCAGTGAGCAAAGTACATGTGTGCATTCATTTTTTATCTGCTTCTTTTTATCAACTATGGTTGATATGCATCAATGAGCACAGTACATGTGCGCATTCATTTTTACGCTTGCATTGCCTATTTGTCGAGAAAGAAATCGTACCGAAATTTCGTAAAAGGTCATCTTTTCACTGAGCGTTAATCTTTCGATATGAGACGAGTAGAAGAATCCGACCATTATCAATCTGATATTGAATGTCGATAGAAGCATATCAAAAGTTATTTCGATCGAAACCAGTACTTAAAACATAATCGTTATGTATAAGCAAAATTATTAAGAACAATTTAATGCGCTTGTATCTTTCACAAATATTGGCTCATTTACTATGATAAAACACTGTACTATTGTAGTCAGTACGAATACAGTTAGTACAAAATTTTAAAAAAGTAAAATAATTTATCAATTAGATTCTTTCAAGTTTTGTAGAACATCACTATGAAAACTATTTACTAAATATAGTTTATAAAAAATCAATACGCTCTGCAAAGACACTCTTTTTTTTTATTGCTTCATCGTATATGAGAATTTCATTCTTGATCTGTTTAATCTTCGATTCTTTTTAATTTATTTCTACAGTGTATCATAGTAACAACTTCCTAATGTGAACACTTCGTCTTAGGTTACTGCTACTAATTTGATCTATCTAACATGAGTATGTTTTTCGTTGGCCCATTTGCTTTCTCTATCATCTTTTTCTTACGTAATGTTATCTTGAAATAAATGTTTATTCAGTTTCTGTTCATGTTACACTTGAAAATAGGTAGCTTATATTGCATGGTGCTACTATTACTGATGTTAGATGCTGATTAAAATATCGAAATCTCTGGTATGATTTAATTCTCCCTGAAAATCTAAATATATGTATTATAAATAATTTAAATATTCTATTTTTTTTAGATTTCATCTAAAACTCAGCAGTGATGAACAAATTAACGTGTGATTTTGTTTGCTTTTATGTTTTAATTGATTCAATGCATCCGTCACATTCTTTGGTACGATTAATATGATTCATTTCCATCTATAGCAATCGAATTGAACGCTTAAAATCACGATGAAAATCAATTATCGGGCGTAAAAAAACACATAATAACCAGCGTATATTCCATTGTAGATATGGGATTTCAACTAATGTAACCTCCTTTTATTTCTAATGAAAAATCCCACACCAATCCAACCAAAAACACAACTTGTTACAATCTTCGAATGAAATGTTCGTCATGTTCTTTTCTTTATGGTATTTAACTGTGTTTTCTTGCTTCTAGTTTGTACTCTGTAGGCACACTCTTGTTTTTGTATTTGATGAGTTTACTATTTAGCTTGTCCTTCGCTCGTGCTTAACATTGAAGAGAGAGTATACCTCTGAGATTCGTTGTGTTTATCTCTTTTGCTAAGAGCACGAGTGATACGTCCTTACTTAGTACACTTACTTCTGTTAGTTTTCTATTGTTGTGTCTACGATATTTTTCAAGGTAACTCTACGTCAGGAAACATATAGGGGAAGCAAAAAACACAGTACGGTTACGATTTTTATATATCACAAATAATATTAATAATATCAGAAATCGTTACACACCCTTTCTAATTTTGTAGGTTCAGAATTGTAAACTTTTTACGTATGTTGTTTTTTATCGGTTATGCAATACTACTGTATATGTAGTTGTTCTATCGCGATCGAGTTTTCTTTTCATGCGTATGGCTAACTAACTAATATATTTGAATCAGTATTTTATATCTTTTTTTTGTCTCTCTCCAATGTGCTTTTTCCGAACAATGCGCCGTTAAATTACCAATTTTTTTACATGTATTAATCCAGCGAAATACTTTTCTTTTCAATTAGACAAACAATTCAATGACTTCGCTCAAGCCTATGATTAAATGATGAGGACCTCTATTTAATATTCTTCTTTCGGTCTTTTTCACGATCTTAATACTTTTTTGTTATTTTTATAGAAAATTTTTTAAATCAAATAAATTGTTCAGTTTTTATCGCCAGGAAATGAAACCATATAGAACCAACACGATAAGCAAGCAATAAAATAGTCGTATAAATGATATTCTCCAATAGATTGAGTGATCATCTATATAGTTATGCATTTATCTAGCCTTATTTTTTCGAGCGTGTCCATGTTCATTCTTCACCAATTCTTCTTTGCGCTTTTTCTGTTCATAATTTTTTTAATGTCTTTTTTTACTTTCATGACAGATAGACCGCTTTTATTTCATATTTCTCCTCATTGGAGGCAAAGTAATGCGAATTCGTCAACGGAAAAAGATCAAAAACATATCTATCCATCTCACGGCATCGATATATGTTGTAATCAATCTGTTCTTAATCTAAACGCTGATAGGAAGAAAAATACTCCTAGTGACTCCCGGCTGAAGTATCGAAATCAAATATCGAATAATTTGAAAGATTTATTTTTACAATTTTATCGTCTTAATTTAAATACAAATGAAAATATAAAATCAGCTGAAGATTTAAAACAAATCTTAACCGATATGCGAACATTGAAGTATCAATTGTACAATACACATGGATCGATTTGTATGCAAATGTACTCTTCTCAATTGAAGACATGTTGCTGTAGTCAGAATCAATCGGTTGAAATTTGTAAAAAAATCTCCGAATTCGAGAATGAACTTTTACGAAAAAATTGTGTTGAATATGTCTATAAAATTGAACGTATAGCAAATTAAAATACTATCCTAAATTAAGATTATTATATTCCGATTTTGAATTCGTATAAAACTGAGTCCAAAACTCAATAATCCGACTCTCAAAGTTCATGTAGACAGATAATTTTACGTTGTTTCTAGCTTTACTGAAAATAGCTTACTTCATGACTAATATTGAGCAAAATCTCTCTATCGGATTGATCGCGACTTTTTGTTGAATCATTTTAGACAAAAATACAAATGATGTGTTAACTTCTTTATAAAAGAATCATATTCAATTCATAACTTACATTCCAGCAAACAAAATTATCTTCAAAAAAAAGGCACAAAAAAAAAGACAAATATGTTCTGTCAATTCTAAACCGAACAAATTATCTTACACTAACGAAAACAAAAAGACACATTTAATCTAGATGAATGGATGAATACAAAAAGATTCTTTTCTTTTTTGGAATTACCTACAATATCTGAGCGCATAGACAGACGGAGAGAAAGTCATTTATACAAATACTACGAAATAGAAAACAAAAAGAAATACGGATGAAAATCACAGCAATAATGTATCGGCTTGATCTTCAGTGGTATGTTTTTCAACACCAACAAAACGTAAATGATGATTTGCTCCATAGCGATAATCAAAAAATAGTTCTTCTCCAGCTGATATACAACGTTTAGAATAAATTCCGATTCTGTGATCACCGTTAACCATAATAACTTTAGCATAGCAATTCGGATTTATTGAATGATTAGCAAAACGTATTTTATTTCCACGACGTGTTGCATCAACCATATATTCTTCATTGAGGTCAAATAGAAAACTTGTACCTATCTTATCATACATACGTCCACGCAGTTCACCTTCATCTTGAGTTAACTATAAAGCAATAAAATCGAATTTTGTAATGCAAACAAAACTTTTTCTCTTACTATTTCTCCACAATATTCAGCAATAAATTCATTTCGTTGAATACTAACTTGTGTAAATATTCCCCAGCCAGCAACATCAGATTCAGCTAATAATAGTGGTTTATGTAAACTACGTTGAATCGGAACATTATGGCATGAGCATGTCGATTTTGTTATTAACTCGGTATTATTTTCATCGCCATTGCGAAAGTCATCTGCACCACATTGTGTACATAAATCAGGATCACACTCACGTGCTGCAGCATAACATGGACATTGTTTTGTCGTACATGATGAACGACAACGACAGCCAGGAAAACGATTTTCACATTTCAATGACGTACAACAACAATATTTCTCACAAAAATTACCCGAATGTAGACAATAACATTGATCATTGCATGGCATAGAACGATCATGATCACATGGATAATATGTGTGACGTTTTTGTTCTAATAATAGATTATGATGATGATTTAATAGTATTTGTTGGTGACTACGTTGACGACGAAATGATGAGAAATGTGAACGACGAGATGAACAATGATTTGGTGTTGAACGATTTGCGTTTGACTGAAAAGAAAAAGTTTGCAAATGTTGAACGAAATGAAAATCGGGTCTTAAATGCATAACTACTATTCTAAAAGATATTTATTTATTATGTCTCAACTGAATTTCTTCTAATGTAGTTTATTTGGCTTTTGTATAAGTACACACTTCACTATATTACTCGATAGATAAATCAAGAACGCCAGATAAAGCTCGGCGAAAACACAAAATGAATAGTAATAACAGATGTTATTTTTTGTGTCTGCATGAATGGATACAAACTTCAAGAAATATTTACTCATAAGTTACTGAACTCTGAACGAGAATTATTATGTTGGAAAAATTCCGCTCCTTATTTCTTAGTTTCTCTTTTATTAGTACTATGATACGTACTATTCTACTTCTTATTTTTAAAATAATAAGGAAAGATAAGAAAAAACTGCTTACCGCTGTTTGATTGCACGTTTTTATTTTATCATCGATTGATTCTTCACTATGATTTGTGTTTATTGCTGAATTTTTTAGATTTTTCTTTTTATATTCGCCATTAATTTTAACATCAACCGAATTCGATGATTTCGTTAAAACAGGTTCCACTGATAATTGATTGGCTATTGATAGTTTTCCTTGTAGAAATAGATCTTTTTCATTTCTATGCATTTCATTTATATAAAATGTATAAACTTGTGAACATGGTTTTTCAAGTAGTTCAGCAATTATGCATATATTATCACCATAAATAGCATGAAATACACGAAATAATGATTTCTCACTGGACAACCAACCTGATAGTTCATCGTTTAGTTTTCGTTTTATAGATGGTTTAAAAATAATGCCATTTCTATGAGTATTTACATTTAGTAATGATGCTGCCGATAACGATAGATGATCAGATTTATTTGCATTGGATTTTAGACGTTTCGAATGAAAACCATTAGTAGAAGTTTTACATGTAGAAGAATGTTTACTATTGTTAAATAGTTCACTATAACTTCGTTTGAGTTCAATTTTATTTCGTTTCTTTTGATAGAAGGATAAAGCTTTTCTTCGATAGCATTCAGAATTACATGGACGATAATTTATATTGTAAGTTTTTGATTGATTAGTCAAATCGGGTATAATTGGTTTATCTTTATGTAGAAAACAATCGTATCGATGACAACGACGACAAAAAAGCATAAAATAAGAATGTAAAATATTTTCAACAGATGAATCCAATGATATTGATGAATTATCGATATTTGGAGACAATTCTTTTGGTTGCAATCGTTTCGATTCAAATATCGTACCGAAACGATCTCGTATTAAATCGGCGGATGATGGGTGCAGTTCTAAAAAGAAAACATTTCATTTATTTACTTGAGCGAGACCATAAACGTTAGATATCGTTGTCGAAGAGTACGGAAAATATCATATTTATTCTGAGCTCATCGATGATAGTACATCAAACGAAGCTAACTACAATGTACAGTATTATAATTCAATCGAAGTGCTCGAGTAAAAGAAAAGTCCCACTACTCAAACTGGAATTTAAGAAAGCTACAGATGCACATTCTTCTTATATTAACTAACGAAGTAATATTTTACAATGTAGTCAAAATCCTATTAAACTGGTGCTTCGTGAGAAAGCAGCCGCTAGTAACATTTACACAGGTATCAATATCGAAATTTGAATGTAGTACCTTCTGGATAATTTTCAAATAGATTAAATATTTTGCTGAAGCAGTGTTTTGAAATGTTTTCTACAAAGAAGTCTTAGATATAATCAGAATAAAAACAGAACACTTGTCATCTCTGAAATACAATGTACCTTATTTTATGATGAATCTCCTGAAATATAGTCCTCTATAACAATTCAATTAGTAAGAATTCTCATTCCAATAACAAATGTTTTTAGATCCTACATCCTGAAAGAAAATTGCTTACTTATTAAAGTATCAAATAAAATCGTTTCATCCTCTACTGTCATTAGGAATGTATTGTTATCTGACTGTTGTTTAAGACGCTTTAATAATTCCAAGAGATGTTCTTCATCAAAAATGAATTCATTATTTCGATCATTAATGATGGACGTTCTTGAAAAACGACGTATACGTTTTGATGATGACGACGATCGAATCGCTAGAAGAAAAGAAAATTTTATCAGCAAACTATGAGAAACAAAAATTATATTTACTTTGTTGTTGTTCGCTTAGAGAATCACATTGTATAGAAATAAGAAGATTTTTAACATCTTCACTCTCCTCATCCAAAAGTAAATCGGACAGATGTGTATTTGTATCACACTAAATTCATAAGGTTTTGTTTTTAGAGAAGATTTTCATTAATTAAATAATTTACTAGAAAATTGCTTTGTAATGGTACATAAGTAAACAAATTAGGTAATTGATCAACATGTGGTAAAATCGTTAGCAAACAAATAAGTTTGTCACCATTCATTTCATCAAAGGAACAACTTGTGTAAAGAGAGGCTTTGTCATTTTCTATCATAGATTCAGAAACCATACGTGGTCTTCTGAAATCACTATATTGATCAGCGATATTTTTAAGAATAGGCCTTTAAAGAAAATAAAACGATTACTTCGTTGAATCCATTGAAAAAAAAAGAAAAAATAATAATAAACTTACTCGGCATCATCTCTTTGTCGTAAATCAACAGTACGACAAACATGCTTGAGAGCTCGTTCAATTCGATCTTTCCAAATTGAATCGACCATGCTTTTATTATGATCATTATTAAAAACATTCATCATCTTTAAATGCTTATACAGGTTTTATTGCTTGCATTTTCTTCATCATTCAAAAACAATAATTCTAAATCTACAGCAATGAAAAAGAAATTTTTAATTCTTTCTTTTTTTCAATTATTAAAGAAAAACGTAGAACTAAACAAGAAGAAATTTTGTGAGATTGAGCTTCAATTATTTTATCGGTAGACATGGACGATCAAATGAACATATTACAATAGACACAATAAATAAGATTGGTGGCGCTAGACTATCAATGAATTATGAACCAATGAAAACAACAAAAACTGATGGACATTGTCTACTAAACATGTTCAAGATAACCGTTTCACACATTCCCTTTTGACAGATAGAGATACATCAGAGCAATTAATTCATAATTGGTAATATATTGCAAATGTGCGACGAGACACACAGTTTACAAACCTTTTATTTTGAAGTTTAAAAATTTGCTGAACATATTTAAATCAAATTAATGCCTTTTTTCTCCATTGAATCAGAAAAAGAATCCATAGCTGTTCAAAACTCGAAAGTGAAATTCACAAATTCTAAACATGTCTAAATGACATACAGTCCAGGTTTCCGCACAAAAACCTTTGTTTCAATCTTAAGCGCCATCTATTGTTCAATCATTATTTATTGGTCATCATAGAATGAATTGTTGAAAAAAAATACTGAAAATAACAACAAACAAACTCAACTCATCGTTTCCAGTTCGTTTGTAAACCATCTAGGTCAATAGTTGATTAGAAAAAAAAAATTTATTGGTAAAAATTATTCTTTTATCGCTTAATTCATTTTTATACATAAAGATAAACGACGGCAGATTCCTAAAATGCCATCAGTCCCGCCAACATCAATTGGAACACGCAAACGTACTCGATCAACAAACATTTCTGAGAGTAATCATGATCATCAGCATGTAGCAGCATCATCAACAATATTACCACCAGCAACATCAATCAGTCATTCTTTGCATGCAACAAATACCGTTGCTGTCAATGCTCCACCTAAACGTCAACGAAATAATCCACCACCCACAGGGCCACCACCGCCAGTCGCCCCGCGTACAGCTTATTCACTTCGAAATCGTTCGTTAACACCCGATCCTCGTCATCCATCAACAAGATTTCCATCAGTTCAAACAACTTCACCTTCGAGAGCAGCAAACCGACCACGATATAATTTACGTCCACGTCGTCCACAATCACAAATTCGTCTACCTCAAGTTTCAACAACACAACCCATTATAACACCACGTCGTAATCATCCTGTGATTCCACCTATTAATCAAACCATAGCACCAGCATCGTCATCTGCCAATCTCAATCAATCATCATTGCTAACCTTCCAAACAGCTACAACTACTACTACTACTACTACAGCATCCCCACCACTACTACCATTGTCACCTCTACCTCTAATTTCAATTCCTCCAGTTATTCCACCGATACCACATTCAACACCACATGTTATTCAACCAAGACAATATCGTCTTGTTTACATATCCGATGATGATGATGATCCACAAGCAACTGCAACCGTTGTTAATACAACATTTGATTTAGTTACAGATGATGAAGATGAAGATTTCATACGGTCACAATTTGCAACTCGTCATCGTACAACGAGATCGACATCCGGTGTTGCTCCTAATACACGGTAAATAATAAAAAATCTGAGTCGTTTCATTATTAACATTATCTTCTTGTTTTCATAGTTTTCGTACAATAACCGCAGTTCCCTCAAGTGCAGTTAGTACGTCATCATCAAGTAGCTCATCCAGTACATCGACATCAACAACAATCAATACACAAGATTTTATTAATGGTGTTGCCTATGTACGATTGAATCGTGCTATTGAAATTGTTATTGACTCTATTCAATCACTTGAAGGTGCTGTTAGTAGTTTTGATCAACTTGTTTTCGGTCTTATTTACGGTCGTTTGGGTACAAGAGCTGAATCAGATAGTATCGAGGTACCAGTAAAATCATGAATTCTTGAATTAATTATTAATAATTAAAATATTTTAGGGCATGATTCGTTTGTCACGCATATTAAGTCTTAATCTACCATCACGATTAAGTCAAACTGAAATTGATGCACTACCAAAAATAATTTTCGCTACTAAAACTAGTGAAACATCATCAATTCTTCTAGTTGAAAAATGTCCAATATGTTTATCTGAATTTAATGATCAGGAAACAATTAATAAATTACATTGTACACATTTATTTCATTTACAATGCATTTCAACGTGGCTCAGTGTATGTTCAATTTGTTTGACGCCATAACTATTTAAGTCAAACTTATTTTCTTTTTATAGGAAAATGATTCATGTCCAACATGTCGTCGTAAAGTAATGGGTGATTGAAAATATAAATTTTTTATAGCAAACCCGTAACATTGAAGGCAACAAAATTGTTTACCATATTTGATATAGACAAACGAGAGTTTTTTGTTTTCGTTTTCATTTTTCTCGGATTGTTAATCTCAAAACCAAAACCAAAACCAAATATCCCTATTTATGTTAAGTCCCGGTGTGAGAGTTTTTCTTTGGCTATATTCAATCTGTACACAGGCCTATAGACGAGATATATTTCTATGTGCATGTTGATTTCATTCCAGTTTTGTTTTTCTTGTTCACTTTAATTATATGTTCTACTTTCGTATGCTTTTCTCTTTTGATAAAAGTTTCATTATATATATATATATACTCCTTTGCTCCTCTGTTTTTGCATTTGTCAGTGTGTTTTTTTCTCATGCAGATGTAAGGATTATTTAGTAGAATGTTTTTTCTTTTATGCGTGTGTGTGTGTGTGTGTGTGTGTGTGCGTTTGAAAACAACAACTATATACATATATATATAGATAGATATATATATTATAAATAAAATAAAAGACAAAGATGTTTATTAATGTCTAATATGATGACTAGTTTCTTTAATCAGAAAAGTGAGAATGATTTATCGGACTCATAGATCATTAGCATTTCAAGAATTTATCCCACACCAAAACGCAAGCTATCTTCAGAAGGAATGCACTTATATTGACAGAAGAATTAATAATAGAAGAAGAAAAAAGAATAAAATACGCATATTGACATGTCTTCATTATACATGCCTATCATAAGTTATAGCTCTCGTATTGATCTTTTCTTTTGTTTTTTTTCTTTCTCTTGTCTCATAAATGCTCTTTTCCTACAACACTGTTATCTCTTCTCTTTTTTTTACGCTACAATCGAAACATTTTCATTTTCTTCTTGTACTAGTGCTATACGGAGTACTTATAATAAATTTGATCAATAGTCATCGAATATAGGCAAAATAATCAATCATTGTGAAAAAGAAAATACATGGCACTGACGCAAAAACTTCGCATTATTATTGGTAGTGTAGTAACTATAGTGGTCATTGGACTTGTAGTTGGTATTACTGTTGGAGTTGTTGTTGGAAGACGAAAACCTGCAACAATAACAGTTGAAAAACGAGCGCTTCAGATACTTGAAAATAATCCATTAATTGACGGGTAAGATTATCATAGACTTTCAATATTGTAGATGAATGATACATATTAAAGATAATTTTACTAAATATGACAAGAGGATAATGAAAAAATTTCCATTATTAATTATGAGCTCACACTCTCCGCTTGTTAGATTTTCGATTTACATAGATATTTTTTTCCAGCAATAAGATCAACTATCTCATTTATATGACTATAAAACATTGCTGTCAGTTCAAAGACATTCATTTATCAGAATTAGTTTGTCATAAGGTAAGCGTACTCTGTGTAAATCGATGTAACGATTTTCTCTCAAACTTTTCTTATCACGTCAACTTCGATTCATCTAAACTGATATGGACAGTATCGCATAATCAATAACTTATAGCTTGACTTTTATGTTAACTTCTATCCATGGCACATGCGACGTACATACATCGTTGATTGAAATATCAATTATCACTTAGCACCGGATGGTTTAGATAGAAAATTATTGTGATCTTCCAAAAAGTTGAAAGGAAGTAAAAATATAAAAGTATCATTTTTATCTATGAGTATCATACTTTAAACGAGCAAATAATCTTAATCGTTGTTTTTCTAGAATAATATTACTTATTAAGATTGGTCTATTTTATTCATTGGATCAATCGAAAGTAACGAAGATATAATATCAAGTATGACAGTAAACATACTTGAGAACATTTAAACGATATTTTTTTTATGGATGTCATCGACTGATTAGAGCACATGAGCACTCCTATGAAGATTTATCGAGTAGTTTCTCACTATAAAGTCATACGATTGTTGATAATCGTCAATAAAAATTAACAACTTATTATTATTTTCAAAACATAACGCCTTTAATTTTCTCTAGGCACAATGATTGGGCATGGGCTTTTCGTTCGCGTTTTCAAAATAGCATAAATAATCTGGATTTAAACAATATGACTCAATACAAATTTGAAAGAAATATATTAATACATACGGATATAACACGTTTACGACAAGGACAAGTTGGAGGACAGGTTGATTTTGAATGATTGCTTTGATATCTAACCGAACGAGAAAAATAATTTTCATTAATAATAGTTTTGGTCTATCTATACCAGATGTGATCATCAAGGAAAGGATGCAACGATAAGTTTTTTGGAACAAATCGATCTAATGAATCGAATTATAGCTAAACATCCAGATGTATTTCAAATGGCTAAAACTGCTCAAGAAGTTCGACAAGCATTTAGTGCTAAACGTATAGCAAGTTTATTTGGTGTCGAAGGTGGACAAGCTATTGAAAGTTCATTTGGTATTTTGAGAATTTTCTATCAATTGGGTGTACGATATATGACATTAACGCATAATTGTAATACTCCATGGTAAGAGTTTATTTTGCATCGTTGAAAATAATTTTATTTTTCATTGAAGGGCTGATCAAAATCAAGTCGATCGAGTCAATTCGACATTGATAAAAAATAATGGTTTAACAGCATTTGGCAAAAAAGTCATAGAGGAAATGAATCGACTTGGCATGTTAGTCGATCTAGCACATGTTTCGAAACAAACAATGTTAGACGTACTTAACATATCTCGATCACCAATTATTTTTAGCCATTCATCAGCTTATTCGTTATGTAATCATACAAGAAATGTTCAAGACGATGTTCTTGAATTAGTCGTAAGTATGATTATCAATTTAGAGAACGATATGAATATTTTCATATTTATCAATAGAAAAAAAATCAAGGCTTAGTTATGGTTACATTTGCTCCTGGTTTTATCACATGTAATAGTTCGAATGATGGAAGCATTGCTGATGTTGCTGGTAAAAAATAGATTTTTCTTTGGGTGCAATTTTAAAGTGTGCCATTCATTTCTTCAGCACATATAAATCATATACGAAAAATAGCCGATATTGACAGTGTAGGCATTGGTGGCGATTACGATGGCGTTGACGTGTATGTATTCACTTGTTCGTAATCTATTCTACTTTTGCATAAGTAAATATTTTAGTTTACCAACTGGCCTTGAAGATGTGTCAAAATATCCAAAGCTAATTGAATATTTAATAGATCAAGGAGATTGGACAGACGATGATATTATTAAACTTGTTGGTGGTAATATTTTACGAGTTTTGGAAAAAAATGAACAAGTAAAAAAAGGAAGTGCAGTGATGAGAATGACATTTTATTTTTATTAAATTTTAGATAGCACAAGAACTCCAAAAGACAATGAAACCACATGAAAGTTTAATAGAACGCAATGAATTAGAAGTATATAATCTCACGCAATGCCGCTATTTAGATATGTATACGACTACTGTTTGATCTGATCATCTATTCGATCAATATTTTCCAGAAAAAAAATAAGAGTTCATCTGACTTTTAATAATTATCAATAGTGTTATTAATCTGTTTTGATCCTAACAAAATTCGTGTTGACTTCGATGATCTAATTTTTTTAAACAAATAAGTTCAATACGTTTTTCATAGGAAACAACGAAGATACATACTTTGGAATGATACGACTATACCGAAGTTTATTAGTATAATGTACAAATGATTGATCATTTTCATCATCGATTAAAGTATTCTAGAAAAAAAACGCATATATAATCATCTGTATAGATGTAATAGTCTTATTACTTGTGGACCATTTTCTTTATTTTCGTCATGATCGATAGATTGATTTTGAGTTTGCGTTACTGAATGAACCGAAAATTTTATATGATTAAATTTCTCATCTAGACTCTTACGTGGACTAGTGTGTCTAGCTTCTCGTTGTCTTAGTCGAATTGAACGAGAACGTGAGCGAGATTTTGAACGAGCTCGTTTCAATTGTCTTGATACTCGATGAAATGTAGCTTCAGTTTGAATAAGATTTAAATTAAGACGACAGAGTTGTTCATTATGAATTTCTTTTCGACTTTGATATTTATAAGCAAAATGAATAAGAATTGATAGAAAACAAGCCCAGCAAATCAAACGCCATTGATAAAAATTAATTATCTATTAAAGTTAGTTTACAAACAAAGAATGAATTCAAAATAAAATAAAAGTTACCGAAGACATTTGTTGATAACGCTCAAGAAGACCATAAATAAACATGCCACAAAATAAAAAAGATCTAGGTAAAATAAAAGGATTTTACCGCAATAATCCTTTTTCTATTTATCATGATTGTTTTCAAAGAGGATTTGCAAATAAGCTTGATAAATTTTTCTTTTTTAAAGGTTAATGCATTATCGAAAATTTTACCGACAGATTACACGGTGATTTTAGAGCCTTATCAAAGACTTCGTATGCATCAGAATTTTCAGATTCTTTCCCATATGATTTCAACATTTTTCAATAGATTTTATTCTCGTAGTTTTGCACCTCTTCAACTTCAAATCATTCGCTGAAAGCCAATCAGTTATGTCATGTTAGTTTCCTTCATTTCTATGGCAAGCATTCGTTTAGAGTTAGCTCAACGATTTCTGAATGAGTGTTAGAAGACTCTTGAATGCTATAGTCCGAATTAAAACAGAATTTAAAAATGCTGAAAATGAATCATCAGTGTACAATTTGTTTTGGAAAATATTAAAAAGAAAACTTTCGGTTATTCTTTGGAACGATTCTCTGAATAGAAGAACTTTTCATACGGTGATATTTTTAATCGAAGCAAAAGAAAAGTTTGAATTTAATTCGAGAAAACTAATATTTTATTCTTCATATAGATATATGGTTGGCTTTACAAACTATACGCTGAATAGAAAATATAATTTCTGCTGAAATAACTAGTAATGAACTCATTCATTTTCTATAGATAAATAGTTGTTACTAAAAATATCATTGGCCTTTTACAGAACAAATTCTATTCACCTTGCTCGATTTGTTCGTTTTGGAATCGTCATAATATATATAGTGAACATCGATAGAACATAAAACCAAAATGAATATGTAAAAGTCATGCGTACGATTGTTTGAATCGTTTGTGAGAGAGCAAATATCTAAACACATTGAAAATTAAACATATTTTTAGCATGTACTCCCAGTCATGCATGAAATCTCAAGGCAATATCAAACAATTGATTATCTATGCGGCATGATTTCTCTTTTTTTTAATCAAAACTGAAGAAATCTAAAAAGGATTCATTTTCAGAGAACTTTCTTTCCAACAGAATTCATTCAATGTGAAAGTATTATAAATTACATTCGAGTGTTGTTTATTCACGAGTACGCATGTTGAAAATGGTTATGTGAAAAGTCAACTTGTTTCTAGCTTAAATCACTCATCAAGTCTCATTTCGAGCAATCTTTCACTTCTACATAGGTGGCGAAATGTTTCTAATTTAGGGGAGGCTCACATGTTTTTTTTTTAAAACAACGGCAGAAAGTCGGCATTAGAGGGAGAAAGCAGATTTTTAAATTTCTTCGTTATAACTTTCATTCAAAACATTTTCTTCACTGACCCATTTGTACATCTTCAGAGCAATCGAGAATTCTACTATACTATCAAAGTTTTATTTCATTATCAACATAAGCGTACAAAATCTTAAACCTTGGCTAAAGCAAATAAAATAGTCGTAAGTACAAAAGCTATTATTCATGCGCCCAAAAAAGACGTTTCTACTGTGATCTTTTGCATCAAAATTAGAACAAATGCTGTTCAAGTCTAGCTGATCTAATTTTTCTTTATGAATATGAGGAATAAGGACACGATTAAAACGTTGTTGTGTCATTGTTGATCGTAGTTCCCTTCATCTTCATAGAGGAGGCGCTAGCATTAATAAGTGAAAATATTTCAAAAACACGCAACATGCACATCCTCAGGCTGAACATTACTTCGGAGAAAAAATAGCATCGCTTTCATTCATCAGATATAGAATTACGATGAAATCAGGACTCTTTTCAAATAACTGAGTCTCCTCAAGCCTCCCCATTTGTTTTTTACGGGAGGTTTGAGCCTCTTCTAGCCTAAGGGCTCCGCTACCTATGCACCAGAAATGAGCACAGGACAGAACGGTCCTGGCCTGTCATACAGGACAGGACAACCTTCTAATTTTCGTCCTGTCCTGTCGCCCGCCAGGACGATAGGTCTAACAGGACAACAGGGCAGGACAGGACAAAAAAGTTGTTCTGTGTCCATCTTTGGTACAGGACGGTCCTGCTGTCCTGCCCTGTTGCCCGCCAGAACGAGGTCTAACAGGACAGGACAGGACAAAAAAATTGTTCTGTACTCATCTCTGCTATGCACTTCTACTATGAGCTAATCCTTAATTTAATTTCACAGCTGTTTTCTGAAGAACTATGAGATTTCGGTGGAAGTCTCATTGAAATGACAATTTCAAATTATTATCTTACTTGTTTAAGTAAATCATATTCATGTCGAGCAGCTTGAATAACGCTAGTTAGTATATCTTGGGTTTTATCCATATTTGTTCGAGCCAAGTGTTTGAGTTTCATCGCATTACTAAGAATAGTTTCTTGAACATACTGTTGATATTTCATTTTATCTGTTAATTGATGTTGCATATGAATGGAAGATACTAATTTGGTTATGGTTTCTTGTGAACTACTAAGAAATAATGTTAAACGTGATGTAAGTTCGGATTGATAAGATTTTTGACGAAGAACATAACAAACACTTTGAACAAATGGATAGAATTCAGTATATGCTAAAATAGATAGAAGAATTTCTTTCTTTAATTAGAAGAAGATCGATTTTTTTCTCATTCACCAATAAATGCATTCATATGTTGATGAAGGTTTTCAACACATAATTCAATATCAGTTTGTTGACATAGAATATTCGACGAGTCATCATTCATTGCAGATAGATGACAAAGAGTGAATTGATAAGCTATTTTCGACTGATATTTATCGAGTTCATCAATCGAACAATATTTTTGTAACATGATTAACACCTCTTGCCAGCAAGTTGATGTTGATGATAATGATAAAATCTGCTCATATTTTTGTTGGCCATTGTTAAATACATCACTTGAGGAAAATGCAGTGATTGTTAATAGTATGAGTACTTTAGCATAGCTGGACATTGTTTTTTGTTGTTCTCTAAAGTCTATTTTTCGATTAAATTCTTTCATTTTCTTATTATGAAAAACAGAATTCTTTTTTATTTATAATTCATATGAGACACAACAGACAATAAGACAGAGAGAAAGAGAAAAAAAATAAATGACAATATGAATAGGATTGCATCCGATGATGTTGGTACCAACAGAATTGGTTGTATGTTTTTGAACATTTATATAATTACTTTTGCTTTTGAATATGTGAAATACAATTTTATATGATTCAATCACGCAACAAAACAAAAAATGTTAGTAATATTAATATACAAGTGTTCGTCATATATTGTTTCTGGTAAAAATATCTATTCTTGTTCGTCATCTTTTCCCTGGAATAAATTTTAAAATAAATTTTTCTATCGAAAAGTGTAAATCTTACTTCAGGATCTTCTTCTTCTTCTTCTTCTTCTTCATTTTCGCCTGCACTACCTTCTTCTTCGTCATTTGTTGTTGCCGCCTATAAAAATGGATTTTTTTTATTTCCAAAACATGAATGAAAATAGTTGTGTTTTTTTTCTCTTACTAAATAATATTGAAGAGGATTAACAAATATATCATCTTTGATAACTTCACCAAATTCTTCATTGCCTGTTTCACCAGTTGTATCAGTAAACCAAGTCATAAATGCTCCGTGTTCATTCGAGCCTTCATGATCATGCGAACGTTTCCGTGTAACTGATGATGAAATATCACCATCAGTTTTTCTACTAGTTGCTGATTGGTTATTTTTTCCCTCCTGAAGCAAACATCCTTTTGTATATATTTTTTTCTTGTTTAAAGAGTCGACATACATTTTTCCATCGTATTGGTGTTGATTTACATTGTGTTTCACTTGATTCCGTAACACTATATTCTTTAACAATCGAATCATTTTCAAAATAGGGATTTTTGTCGAAGGTCTAAAACAAAATAAAGCGATGTTTTTCAAAGAAAAAAACAGAATTGTACTTACAAATTTAATAGAATATCCTGATTTAATATCTTCATGCTGAAATAAATAATTCAAAAAAATAAATACTATAAAACAAAAGATCTTCGGTTTTGTTTTACTTCTTCGACGTCGACACGTTTAAGATGTTGTAAAATATTTTCATCATTTTGATCTAGGCAGCTTGATAATTGAGGATGATTAAGAAATACACTAATCCAAAATGATGGAATTTTACTAATTAACTCCGAACCTTAAAAGGAAGAAAAACGTCGTTACTGTTTTTCTAAAACAATCAAAGAAACAAACGTTTTTTGTAGTGTGGTTGACGAAGTTTATTATATTTTTGTTCGACTTGTAGAATTTCTTCACTTGCTTGTTCATTGAAACGATCAATATCATTTTGTACGTCGCCAATGACTTCAAATGCTTTTTGCATTTCGAATTCTGCAAGAATTTAAGATAATCATAATAGTATTCATATGAATAGAATGGAAAAAAATTTTACCATCAGCTTTAGCTTGTTTTGCATTTGATCCTGACATTTTGAATGTTAGAAGTATTCTCAAATTTTCCAAATGACGGCTAGACGATAAGAAACAAAGGGAACTGTGTCTTTTTATTCTTATGCAATACATTGACCAATAGGACAGCGTATCGCATGAGTTTGGCACTCGTTTTTGTTTTTCATTGCATTTCAGATTTGATCATAGCGACATCAAGCGGAATTTTATTCGTAAAGATATTTTACATGAAAATAATCGTTTGTCACTTTCATTAGTGAGGTATTAAGAGTTTTATTTCCACAATTAATTATGGTCCCTTAGTCGGAGAAGTATTTCCGATTTATTTTTGAAACGGAATTCCAGCTTGTTTATTTCGATATTGCCTATATACGTTGGAGACTAAATCTGTCTAATGAATTATTCAACACCTCCATTTGTAGAATAGTTTGCTTTTATGTATTTAATGATCACATCATTGCTATAGAATCCTTGAATATATAGCTCTTGATTATACATGAATTATTCTTAATACACACAAAGAACATTTGGATTTTTCTTTCACTAAACCTGTGTAGGATTTTCGAGATATTTAGCTCAACTATGCATCTCGTAGAAAGACTTTTTTTCCATTGTATAATATATACAAATGCACACGTTGTTACTTATTAGGTATACGAAATAATCAGAGATTTAATTTTATGTGTAGTAACATTCAATCGTATCTATATATCTATCTGCTGAGTAAAGTAATGAATTATTGTCTTACTTGTTATCGAGATTAGAGATTTATTTATTTATTCATTATTCAATACACCTACGAGGAGACCGGAAATTGCTTGCATAGTCTCAACTGTTCTATTTACTCAAGTTAATAGATACGATATAGTAAGCAACAAAAAATAGAGATGTCATAATGATGATAATGAAGTATCTTCACATTTTATTTTTTAGTCATACTTTAACAATCGAGATAAATTACATTTACACAAAGATTATCTATGCAGTGAACATGACAAGATGTTCTTTTTTTTTTATTCGAATTTATTCTATGCTTCATTTTTACTTACTATGTAAATCAATAGAGAGTATTTTTCTCGTTGAAAAACAATACTATATATATAGAGATATATTGTGTATATTTCTGTGACACATTCATCAGACTTGTTTGTTTTCATTTTATACCAATAACGTCTGGATTTATAACGAACAATAAAAGGAAATGTTTCATATTATTCCATTACATAGGAACAGAAAAATAACATTTTCTCTTTTTTTATGGCTATGATGCAAGGTCAATCCATGTTTATGTAAGAGTTTTTCTTTTTTTTTTTGTTCAGAAATAGAGTCGCTGTGCGAAAAAAACTGAAAAAAAAATGTCATTTAGACTCGTCTATTCTGAAGACTTTATCACATGGTCATCTGCTCGGTTACAATAGACGCATATACTTATGCTCATACTTCTTTTTTCTTTCGTTCTTTCTTCTTCATTCATCCTAGTACATTCCGTCCTATAGCCATCGTCCACCGGTACCATAAGTTACCTTTTCTTTTTTTCCTTCTAGTTCAACCGAACACACACACACACACACATCAGTCAATAGTAGTGTCGTTGTTAGTTTTATCAAATGTCTTGTTCTTTGTTGGACATTGATAAAACAAGTGCGAATGTAAGTTCAGATAATGACATGTCGAACATTTTAGATGACAGCAAATTTACGTCCATCATATAAAGAAGCACAAGAACGTCTTTTGAAATGGTGTCAAAATGTTACGAGGAATTATGAAGTAAGAATATAAATTATCTTGTTTGTTTCTTTATATGCTACATTACTCTCCGCCTTTCTATTTATAGTCAGTCAAAATACGTAATTTTACAAGTGATTTTGCTGATGGTCTTGCTTTTTGTGCGATAGTTCATCATTATTTTCCCGATGCATTTGATTTTAATCAATTAAATCGAAATAATAAGCAAAATAATTTTGATTTAGCATTTCGTACTGCTGAGTAAGTTATTTCTTTTCTTTGATTGATTATGATCTTACGGATATATATTTATATATATCGTATTATTAGAGAAAAAGCTCAAATTCATCCACTACTCGATAGTGATGATCTTGTAAATGGTGCATTAGATAAAAAATGTGTGTTCACCTATTTACTTACATTATATCATGGATTAAAAAATCGAGAATCAATGGCAAACAAAGCTTTTCTTAAATGAAAATTATAAGTAAAACTTTTTTCTTTTTTTAATAAATATCAAGTGTTTTTTTTTTTTCTTTTCTGTCTAATTTCAAATAAAACAAGTTTTAATCTTGCCAATCAGTTGTTTATTTTTCCGTTATTTTAGATTAGAGTATAAGAAAATATTTGTATTATTCTATGACAAGAATGCATAGCTATTTATGTGAACAAATGTATTCTTCGATTAGAGTTCGCCTACCATAAATATGACAAGTCTACCCATATGCATGCAATTACGTCGTTAGTTAAGAATGCAAATTAGAGATACAATTTCATCGTAATAACTCAAACAAGGAAAAAAGATCATTGTAATGGATAGATAGATATAGTTCGCATCTATTCTGCTTCTAGACTTCATCGTTTTGTAAAGGAAAATATTGTGTTTACTTTGAGAATTAACTTATTCTACTGAAATTAACTATTAGTATTGATTGAAACTATTTAAATAATAGAGTTCGGTGATAGTTCAACATATTGAGAATAAACTTTAGAAGAAGTTTGCTGTTAGTTGAAGTTATGATGATTATTTGTAATACTATTGAAGATTAATAACTATTTAGATAATCAATTATTTGTTTGAATGATTTCACCTTTCGAATAAAGAATGGTTATGTGTCGAACTTCGATTCCTTGAAAATGTAACAAAACTTAATGAAGCAATTGATAGAAATTCAATGATCCATCCTCGTAGAGTAAAAGAGCTCCAAGCAAAACAAAAAAATTTCCTTTTATTATAACTCAGTTTGCATGTAACCGAATAGGAATAAGGTCATTTCTCTCTCTTATGAACCGGGCAAAGTATGCGTACACAAAAGACTGGCAGTGTAAAGTGATACAACTCTCCCCTGATGTTTTATTTAATTTTGATAAATTTGTTAATTTTACTGTTACAAGTCGACTACCATCAAAATTGTATTATTTCAAACGTTTCATTGTACATCCCGATCGAATTAACGATATTTATAATAGCTATATGACATAACTCTAAAATGACAAATGTCGAGTAGTTTTTTACAGTGTACATTTCATTTATTCATTCATTCATTTATGATTTTGATCACCTTGCATGCATAAAACTAATATAGATATTTGCGACAAGGCTATTCCACGAGTCATTTTTATTCATCGCAGATCAAAATGTCGTTGAGAATGATGAGTCTTGTTCTCAATGAAAAAATGACAAGAACTTTATTAGGAACTCTACTTGATCTATTCAGTTTTAAACAGAGCTAGAAGCAACTAAAATCAATGATTGACAATAAAAGCTGTGTCATTTGTTCGTAGAGATCAAAGTTCATCATTTTTAACTACATTTATGTCGTGATGAATAAAAGACTATAATGAAATGAGTTTATTGTAAATATTATTATGACATTTGATATACGGTATGGTAGAAAGACGCTGTATTTTTCATTTCTATGATCATAATAAGGATAATCAAATCGATTGGGATATATTTGAATATAATATCAGGACTACCATTTCTCATTTTTCAAATGGGATTTTTGAAAGTCCAAATGGGGTACATTCGTTTTCAGAATGGAATACATAAGTAGGGTACATTGTCTGCCTCCTATAGTAGAGGATTTAATTGAAAAAATCGATCAGATAAACATCACCATTAGAAATAGAAAAGTCTGATTTAAATATAGAACAATGAGCACAATATTTATTAATTCGACATTCTCTGAGAAATTCTATATATTTAGGATCTTTCAATCAGTTTTGGTTGAATATACAACGTCGTTTTGACTTTGATGAACATTTTTTTCTTTGATATTAGTAGCTGGCTTGTCGTGGAAACTGGGAAATTCTTCACTTGCTATTGCTTCTGAATCGTCAGAAATTTCAATTTCATAATCTTTGTTCAATGCCACGCGAAAATTATCAATAAAACCAAATACATTGAAGGGAAAGTCTAAAACCCGATTCCTTTTTGGAGACAATGTGTATTTATCAAACTTAATTGAAAAAAGTAATGAAACGATGGGAAAGGAGAAAAGGAAAAAATTCAATAAAATTTATTTCATTATTCATAGTGAACATAGAATGCAAAACTGAATAATTAAAGACGGAATTAAACGAAATGGGTGCTAATATCTATTGGTCAGTTATTTACCAACACATTTTATTATACATTTCTTTATGAAAATGTGAAAAGTCTAGAGGAAGACAAGTTGTTTTCATTAGAAGATTAGCTAGTCGTACCGTAGACTTAAAAGTCTAAATGGGGTACAAAATGGTGAAATGTAGGTGTGTACCCCAAGATGGGGCACAGTTGGCAGCCCTGTATAATATTGTTTTGAAGGCAAAGCATTATTTTCTCACACGTTAGTGAAAGACTCGTAATGAAATTTTATCGACAACAAACATAGTTTTTTATTTTCCCTAGAAAAATAATAAAATTCTAGGCATAAAATTACTCAATTCATTGGTAACATAACTTGTCTTACATCGTATTTTCCTTGCATAAAATTCTGATTCATTTTGGACTCGGTTTTGCATATCATGCATAACTAATTTTCATTGTAATAATATATCAGTTATTTAGTATTTATTAAAAATAATGGTCGCTATCCAGGCCAATGATTCTGGAGAACGGATACTGCGGGAACCGGCAGGAAAATGAGGGAAAAACCACCGTATTGTACAGGAAAACACTGGAAATCGCGGAAATCAGAAGCAGTATTCCGGTCGGAAATTTTCGGTTATTTTCCAATCAGTTCCTGCCTGAAAGCACAGGAAATTGCTGGGGATTCAAAGTAAAAATTCCGAAAATTTCGGACCGGAATACTGCTTTCACGTTCCAGTGATTTCCGGTGTTTTCCTGCCGGTTCCCGCCGTACGAGTTCGACCTGGGTAGTACTTATCTAATTGCATTTTCCCAATTAAGCTGGCATGTCAACTTTTGTGAAAATTTTTTTGTACAAAAGCAACAAGTATTTTAAAATTTCGGCTTACGTAAAGTTAAGATCAATTTTCTAAGTGAAAACTTATCGGATATTTAAATAGATGAAGAGTTTGAAATTTTGTACAAAAATTGGTATGCCTCTTTGTTTGGAGTGAATCATCTGAATAGCATTAGATCCATGAAAATTTGTCCTTAAAATTTAAGGAAGCATAATCTTCATATTCTCTTTTTCTGATTTCTGTGAGGAATAATCATGTAAATATTTATTCTTGTATATATTTAAAACAACATAGATACAGTCTATAAGAAGAAAAGCGAATATTAGTATTGATTATCATGCTTTTAGGTAGGAAAAATTCACTGTTCGAAGAGATAAAAAGATTAAATACTGAACTCTCCAGTCATAAAAACATTAAAACATTTTCATTAGTCCGATGCAGATTAGAAATGCAAGAATAATTATTTTAAAATCCATAGGAACAATCGATTGTCCTGCATTGCATAAATTAGTATTGCCTAACAGAAATGAAAAACAGAATTCAGATCAACCAAACAAAAAAAGAATCAATTATTTGAAACTTACAACACCAAGTACCAACACCGAGTACATTTGCAGTTACACAAGTGGGCACAATTCCTCGGCTAGTAGCTACAGAAGCGCTTATTTTCTAATAAATTAATTCGATCGAATTCGTTATTTTTATTTCTGAAAAGAATAACTCACATAACAGAAGTCACCCGTAGCGTTTGATGAAACTATAACTGCACCATTTGCATTGAATGGGTTGGCACATACTTCGCAGCTATAGCATTGAAGTCCATTGACTAACGTCGGCAGAACACCTATAGTTTAAGATTTAGAATAGTGATTTATTCTTGTAAAAAAATCTTACTGATTGCACATAAGAAAAAAGTAAATAAAACTTTCATATTGTGTGATGTTCAGAAGAAAAATAATGAGAACATATGATAATGAGACATAAACTCAGAGTTTTTATAAGAGAGAGAACCGTAATTTCCGATGAGTCTTTTAGAAAAAGTGCTTTTTCTCTCGCTGTCTCGCTCAAAAGAGTATTTTAATTGCGTTCATTTACGGTGAACAATTCAATTTGTTATATATATATATATATATATAATAAGTTATTGAATTAAACAGCAAGCAGTGACCAGCTTTTATTTCAATGTTACTGTTTTTTTTGTAATATTAAACCTCTGCTAGTTTATTGTCGAAGAGACAATAATACTAAGAAGTTTTCTCAGAATCTTTAAATTACACATTCTTTTCAAAAAATTAAAAGAATAATCAAATGGATGTGAAGCAACATTTTTTTAGAGAAGAAATACGATAGTAGATAGAGCATCGACATTACTTTCTTGATTACAGGCATGAGTAATCGATTGAGCACTGAAACTATTTACGCGTGACGAACGTTAAATTCATTTTTTCAAAATTATATCCACTCAAGCATTTATCGACAACATCTACAAAATAATATTATGAACAATTTATTCATGTTTCATTAAGAGAAGCGATTATATTGGCAGCTCTGTAATTAGATTCTCACTTTTTGCAGTTGTATAGCACATTTTAAAAGCGTTACTAAGTTACTAACTTATAGGAAACGTGCTTCAAGTTCTTTTAATTGTTTTGAAGCTAATGTAAATGTGTAAAATGAGTTCTTTTTAAATATTTTTGAATATCATAAACAAAATTTTTCTCACCAAAGCGACATAACTATTCCAGCGATAACAGCAAGTGCTGGCCAATTAGAAAATAAATAAAAGAACTCAATTTTTATTTTTGATGAGATTGTGTCTTAGGAAAATTTGTAACGATTCAATGGTTCAATCTCATGAAGACGACAAAAAATAGCAATGATAAAGATTCACAAGCTCTTGCATATTTAGATACTTTTTAATTCTTAGCTGAAATATGTGTAACTTTTATAGTCTATTTTGAATTTCTTTATAGAAGATTTATTGCGAAATTTTCTAACAATTGATGTACAAGACAGATGTCCAGATTTTGGATTAAGTCTATAGATACACCACTTTGTGATGACACGTACTTTTATCAGCTCACATTTTACTCATAAAAATGGTTCATCTGAAATGCATATCAATTTCGAAATCAAAGTTTCCTGACAGATCAACACGAGAGAGCTCGATTCTATCATAAAGATGATTAGTGCTCCATTGACTGACCATGGTTGACAAGAACGATATGAGCACAATACAAAACAGATCAAACTACGCATTGTTTTTCTTTATTTTTATATCAGTTAACTAGAATTCAGGGGACAACACAAAACGCATCCAATAGAATACGTCTTTTGATGTTTGCTGAGAATGCTCATCGAGTTATATAGTTCATCAATAGTTTCCATTGATGACTGCTATTGTTTAGACAAATTATCGACAATTTGTTCAAGAGATTGAGTACGAGGTGAGACCACAACATCATCAAGAGACTCTATGAGATATTGTGAAGTTCTTAAAAATAATCAGATTTGATTCTTTTATTGCTACTAATGGTAATTAAATTTCATAATTAACTAAAAGGGATCCATTTAAAAATTGATTTTGCATAAGTTCGTCTTGATCTAAAAGTATTTTGATGTTTAATAGGTTAGAAATGATGAAGATGTATTTTATTGGACCTTTCTATAAATATTTTCACTTATTCTATCATCGCAGAGAAATCGATTCAGATAAATGAAACTTGAACGATAGATATGACTCTTAAAAAAAAGAAAACAGAATGTGTTTCGAAAATCCAGAAAAGAAAGAATACCCAAAATGACTATTACAAAAAAGAGAAATTTAAGTGAATACATTGCACACCTGTCTCTGTTGTAGCGTCTATGATTTTAAAGTATTTCTAAGTGGAAAACGTGGATTTTATACCACTGGACATAAAACTGATTTCTCTATCTAACCGTAGAAATAAAAATATTTTCAGCTACTCTAATAATTGATTAATTGCTTAAAACGATTCAAACGTTTGAACTATTGTATTTAATCTCGTTAGCTACTCGATTATTGCAGAAGATAGAAGTCTTTTTGTTCTATATGATAAAATAGAGATCAATATTCTTTTTAGTCCTATAAGAAACAGAATTCTTGACTGTAAAATACTCGAACTAGAGACGATGAAAAAAGACAAAAAGCATAACATGTATTTCACTCTAGAAATATCAACGCTACTTTCCAGTTTATCTTTAATTGTGGTATTGCTTTTGCATGTTCTACAATGTGTTAAACAACAAAAGCATAATTATTGCAAAAGTGGATTCCCATATCAAGTTTTGTCATGACTAGATAGTCTGAAATGCCGTATTGGTCCCCAATTTGAACACGATGCTTTTAAAAGGCTTCATTTTAAGATTGCCATCTTTTGACGTGGGATTATCATCTATGACATTCGTAGATCTTAATACTTTGATATTTCGCTCAGGCGTCATAAAGTTAGAAACTGTTGCTTTTGTTTCATCAACCGGCGTATCACTTGTGCATTAAACGTCACCATCTGAACAGAACGTAGGTGCACGTTCGTAAACTGAGATAAGTGCACTGTTAACTGTATCTTTCTTAGTTACGGTATGCTGAAGTTTAATCGTGGTTTTAACATATTCATACCTTGGCAATTCAGAAATGGGTGTGTGGTTGTTGATGAACCAAATAGTGTTACTCATATATCAATACCCCACGCCCTTCCAATAACAATTCAATGGGAAAATGTTGTATCAACCTGTATGAACCCCAAGGATAAAAATCTCATTGAAGAAAACATAGATAGTATATTTATTGTCTAGTTTGATGTTAAATCAACTATAAGAATATATTCTTTTGTTCTTAACATCCTCACAATTTTATTTTTCGAAAATAAATTAAAGTGCATAATATATAAATAAGAATAATATGCAGACTATTTATTTCTTAGCAACAATAATACTTCACAAGTTTTTATTTTCATGTAGCTATATGTCAATTAAATTGAAGTCGACATCTTTCTAGGACGAAACAATCCGATAACTGGATCCAATCGTATTCCGATCAGTTACTACAGGATTCCAAGTAAGTCCAGGTGGTGGACCCATTCACACACCCCTAGTGTTGAAATCCGAAAGGTTTCCTGAGGAACCTCGTTGGAATCTGCCGCCTGAAATTCTTATCGGATTCGCTGTCCGATTCATTTACCCGGGCATAATAACTTGTTCATCATCATCATCAATATTATAATCAAAATGAATATCTTTTGTTGCACTAGTAGGGGCAAAAAAGCTCACCCCAAAGCATGTAAGCGCCTCGGTATTTTGAGCGAATTGTACATCATTGATTTTAGAATGATCTGCAATAGTTTCAGAAAAAATAAATGAGGAAACATCGGATTCGTATCCGATTGTTATGTGTACTGCAAAAACTGAGTCGATTTATATATGTTTTGAATAATTCAGAGAAAAAAAATTTTTTTTTTGAAAAAATCCCTGTACCCCCCCTCAGGGATGGTCTGGTTAATAATGACAACTTTTTCGATAACTCAGCCATTTCTTCACGGATTGCTTTCATCTTCGAACTCGACTGAGATATTGATGAGATCATTCTGTGTACAAAATTTCATGACAATTGGATGAGGCTTTCAAAAGTTATCGTGTTAACGGCCGGACGGACGGCCGGACACACTGACCGAATCTAGAGTGTACTCATTTTTTTGGAGTACACAAAAACGTGGCAAACAAAAATAGTAAAGAATAACTATTTTTATTCCTTCAGCAAAAGACGCAATGAAGCGTAAGAATGTTCTCAGTAGGAATACGGTCATAACGATAGATAATTGTTTAACTATGAGTATCTCGCCCGAACGAAATAGTCATTACTAAGAATAAGTAGTCTGTTTAACAGGGCATCTCCTACATCTGAATACGATTAGCAAGCTAAACATTTATCTTAAAAATAGGCTTGTTTTTATTAGTTTTGACATGTTTCGAACAAAAAAATGTTCCGGAACAAATGATCTTTTTCGGATTTGCTACATGTTTTACTTGAGTTACATTCTTTAAACTGATTGTTGACTAGTTAGATACTGTCACATACGATTTATCAGTTCAACGGTTATCACGTTTTGGTTTATCACAGTTATTATAGAGTACGTACCTAAATGATGATGTTCCGCGATATGAATGTACTGATCTTGTAAAAAATAACTTTAATATATATTTCTCTGAAGAAACAATGGAGATTATAAAATACAGCATTCATTCGTAGATATTGGTTTTTGTTACCCTGTAGTGTAGTTTTATTGCTATTTACAACATTATATTCTAATATGAGCAAATATAAGAAGAATTCGCTGAGTAGATTTGATAAAAACGTGCCACTATACTTAATATTCGAATGTTTGATACAATCGTCATTGAAATTCTTGAATCGATTTCGGTTTCTAAAAACATAAGTTAGAACATTAGATGAAATCCTCATGCACGAAACGCTGCTCATCATTTGCTTTATTTTCAAGCTCTAAAATTATCCGAATAATTCTGTTTTTAAACATAGAATTTCTCGGTAAAACTCACTGATATTGTTATAAATCAATGTGTAAGAAATATTACATATAGTGTATTTGTTTTAGAACTTTTTCATATTGTTATACTGAGATGGTTCTTTCCATAACTAGTAATAGTTCTTGATACTCCTGAACGATGATTTCTGTACACTGTTTTTAATCATAAAATATAATGAATGTAGCAATTCAATGAAAATTTCTCAATCATTTGCTTGAATTTTATGATTATTAACAAGGCATACGGCAACGAATCTACTCGTACTAAATAAATGTGAAGAAAACAAGTCTTAATGCTTGCTTGTAGACCATTTTGAAATAATACTTCATCACGCAACACTGAGCCTGTAGTAAAAACGTTTGTTATCATTCTACAAGTACTCTTTTTATTGTTCAAAATCAAATTGAAGTCCAAAGAAAGATAATGAACTGAAATGGACAACTGGTCAACATATTCGACGATTGAATTCTGGCTATATTATATGGTTTCAAGCTGAAATATTAGGTAGACAAGAGATAAAATTTATTTTTCTTTAACGGCAAAGGGGATATTCGCAAACGAAGTTTCACATATGAAATCAATTATCAATATAATTAATATATGTATTGCTTTTACTCTATTCTGACTTTTCAGATACTTTTATCGAACATAAAACACGGTAGCAAGTAAAAAAAAATACATAATAGATATTTAATAATCAACGATGCCTAATACTTGTGAATAGATACAATTTGCATTCGATTAAGTTGAAAAAAATAATCCTGCACATTAATAATATACTATTTTAGTTAGAAGAATAGAATATTTTTATATTCGCTTATGAAAAATATTTATGGTGATACAGTAGAACATTTGTATTTTAGTCATCGACTGCTAATGGTCTTCCTTACAATTTTGTAATATTAATTACTTTTTCACACTGGATAACAAGAATGGTCAATATTAATGCAAAATTGCAAGAAAAATAAAATAGAAAAGTATACATTCAACACATAAAAATATGCTTTTATGTATATTAATATGTTCTCTTGATATGTTTTCGAACCTTGATTCCTGATAAATAGTCATAATGCGTTTGATATTACCCGAGAGAACACTTTATTTCGCACAACGAATAGTTATAATCAAATAATAATGAAAATATTATATTATGCAATCAAACCAGGCGTTGCTCTCGTACACGATGGTCTATTAATCATTCTAAATGTTTAGATAAAGAATCTTCGTGTATATATTAGCGCATTCCATTAGTACATTAGAAAGATTAATCAAAGCATTCAGAGATAAATGTGATTTTTAAACGATAGTCTAAAATGAAACAGAACCTAAAAGCAATATCTACCCAAATCTGAGTTTTGAAGTGCAACATAACCTGTATTCACAATTGGTGGACGTGTTTGATAAACAATTTTCAATTTATTCTGTATAAACTTGATACGATGCTCAAGTCATTAGAGATAATCAAAGAAATGATGAGTTTCTCTGAAAATAATATTTAAACGCAAACGAAAAAAATGACTATGGTTATTAATAAAATAAAATAAAACGAATGATTCAGTCCAATTCTGAAGGATAACTGTAAAATACTTCTAGTTTCATTTCAAACAGCCGTTTTTAGCCTTCTATTGTTGTGATCACGGCTCCAATTGTATTGATCGTATACGACAAAGTATTATCATTAAAGCAAGACTGTAATGTTGCAGTAACATTTATGTGGGCACGAGTTAAGGGAAAATGTGGACGCTACCATGGAGACACATGCAATTCATTAATGTGAAAAATCTAATTTATTATTTTGTATTGCTAATAGAAATTATTTCTTTCAATGATGATTCATAACGCAACTCAATAAATATTTCTGTACATGAAATCCACATGAAATAGGAATACTATCTTTGAATTTGCTATACAAAACCAAAAGTAAGTATTCTTATCCTTTTATCTTCAAACTTACGACGAAGCTGAAATATTTCTGGTTGATTTAGATATTGTTTGTTAAAGACCTTACATTAGCCGTGTATTCTTGTATCGTCAAGCAAAAGCTGTAGTAGTTCGCGTTTTGAACCGAGTTATCTATGTTAAAAAGATGTCGCTAGTGAATGATTATTTATTGGGAGAGTTGTTCGCCAAGGTAACTGTTGATGGAATGCCGAATGTTACAACTAATCCAAATTTGTTCACCAAAAACTTGATAAGTATAACAAAATAATTTAGTTTATTCAAAAATAGTTACTCAATGGACGCACAAATTCGTCGTTTGGTCGTGACTGGCACTGAATTAAATGGTCTGTTGTCTTTCTCTCTTTTTTATATTTTATTTGTAAATTCTAGACATTCAACTACTATCTGATGCATTTCAAAAACTTCAACAAAATTTTCAAGTCAACCTTGTTCAAAGTAAAGATACTATCGGACAAGATATATATGTATTACTTGCAGAAAGTGCTCTTGATGTAAGAATCTATTTAATTTTTTCCTGTCATCATAAAATATTTGCCTATGTTCATAGTTAAATGCGGACTCGATAGCTGATGAATGTCTTCAAATGTTTTTTTCGTTAAGTCCAGTTAAAAGTCAATTTGTTGGACGCGCTTATTTATGTCAATTTCGTATGTACATGCCAAAAGCAGCGCAAGATTTCGTAAGTAATACAACAGAAAAACGTACTCTCACTCAACACTACAATAATTCAGAAGACTTTGTTGATATATGTCATAGACGCTGCATAAGAACCGTCTATTTACAACATCGTTTCTTACAAACATTTTAAGCCAACAAATGCTATTTTCTTTTTTCCCTGTTGAATAAAAATTTGATGAGATTTGACATACGATTCAATTGAATTATTTTTAATTTGAATACTACATGAGATGCACATTTCCTACAGGCTGGGTTTAACTTTATGAGTATCGATTGCAAGTAAACTTGCTTAAAATTTTTACTGATTATTTATTTTCATAATCTATCATATATAAAAGACGAAAGGAAACCTGAGATCAGTACTTAGATGGATAGTAAACTTCGTTTTTGAATATTATTATTTTACACAAAAGGAAAAATAACAGTGACAAGAAATTAGAAAACATCATACACTATCAGCTTTTGGTAGCCATACGTTTGAAAAGAACGACTTCATATTTTAATTCTTTTTTTTTGTAAAAACATTTCATTGTTTAGGGTTCTTTGAACAATGCTATACCATTCTTACAAAAATGTCTTTCCTTTGCTTCAGTATCGCCAAGGTGAGCACTTTAGTTTCTTTTTCGCATGAGAAAAACTAATTTTGTTGAATGTTTTTAAAGATATCAATTTCTTGTTTACAATGCATCAGTTATCTATTTTAATTATATTCGACCATTTTTTCGTACTGACTATCGAAAATATCTGTGTGACAGTTTTCAACAAGTTATCGATACAATGATAAATATTACTGATGAAAAAGACTATCCTTGGCAAGCTCAACTTCTTTTGTAAATATTTTCTAGTCTTCAATTTTTCACTTAAAAAAAAAGAAATCTTTCTCTTCAAGTGAACTAGTTCGATGTTACATGGATGCGAATAACATCACAAAAGCTCGAGAAACGAGTGTACAACTTTTACAGCTATGTCGCAAAAAGCAACTTCCTCTTCTTTCAAATGTTCTTCAATTTTTAGTAAGATTTTAATATGAAGAAAAAATAAATATAACGTTATCATCCTTTTCATTAGACTGTAAACAATGTCTTGGAACCAGACAATCTTTTACCGTATGCACCAACTGATGAACCATCATCTCTGTTCAATCGATTACTAATAGAACTTGCATCCATTCATAAGTAAACGATTTCTTTTTCGAAATTATTTTATAGTAAGAAATGACTTTTTTTCAGAGAAATTATTGAAAATAGTACAACACATGAAACAAATGAAAGTTTAAAAAATGCATTTGATCGCATTATTGCCTTACCCTTGCGTAGTGCTATGCCTGCTCATAAATCAGCTAAAGATTTAACTTCAAAAGATAATCATACTACTCGACCAGATAGAACACTCACATCATATGAAAAGTATTGAATTAAATTTTCTGTTTTGAATATAAATTATTTTTGTGTTTTTTAGACATCGTTTATTAATTGAATCCGGTCGTCTTTCACTCTTACTTCGTTATACTGATTTGACTAAAGTTATTCTTGATGCTCTTGCAAATATTCGATTAAAAGTAAAAAACAAAATAACGGTTGCGGGAAAAAGTCAAGTATTCATAAAGTTCTCTGCATTGTGTCCGATGCAGTATTGTACAGACTTGATCAGTTTTCTATTAAAAAGTAGCAAAATGTCTAGTGCAACTATATCAAGGGGGAAAATCTCATTCCGAGCCATTCGAGTGGATAGGGATGGATAGGAATGGCTGGGAATGCCCGAATGAGTTTTTTCCCCTGGAACTATACAGTGCGTAGAAACAAAAAGTTCATACTTTGAATGCTATCGCGACACAGCTGACATAAACGTTATTGTCAAGTCCTTAATTAAACTTACTTATTTGGAATACGTCAGATATTCAAATAAAATTTTGGCTTTCACATTAAAAATCTTGAAAAATGAATTCCTAATAAAAACTGTGTATGGCCGAATCAGTTACACACAAAATAATAAACAAAAAGGTTCAACGACTATGTTTGGATCATCAATGCTCTTTTGTTTGCTTGGATCTTTCTTAATATATTCGAGCCATTTTTGAGTATTTTCTAAAAAAAAGACTTTTGCTAGAGGCATGCCGCATCAATTAAGTTCTTCTCGACTTTCACTAATCCACCAAAGGAATATAACTTTTTACTTGACAGCTTGAGAGTATTAAAACAGTTGACAAAGATATCTTAGGATTAAATGTTGTTATTTTACTTTCCCAGAATCTCTTATCTGTCTTGTATAAGGTTTAAATCTTTTAAATCAATTTTTTAAGTATATGACTGCAATAGACATTTTGCTCTGTAATGAAACAGCTAATACTGAACTTTTATCCGAACTGTTATATTAAGACAAAAAGCAGGAAAAATATTATACCGTATTCATTTTGTAGGAACCAGAATATCTTCTTGAAGTAAGATTAATACAAGCTGAATACATGATTAAAAATTTAGGAGAAAATGAACAATTATATAGCAAAAGTTCTGTAGATGTAAGATATTGCTCGTTGAAGATATAGAGTATTCTACCTTTATTTTTCTTCTCAAGACACGTATTCGAGCGATTGAATTAACAGAAGAAACACTCGAATCATTAATTCGTACAGGTGAATTTGATTTAGTTCAAACAGGTTGTGTTAATCTATGGAATTTATGTTTACCATTATTACAAACGAATCTTCGAGGAAGAATACGAAAAGCATTAACAACACTTGTTAATATTCTTGAACGTATACAAAGGTAAAATATTAAATTCGTATTTATTTAAAATAAATTTGCTCACTTTTCTAGTCTTGATTGGTTATTACGAAGTCAAGCTCATTTTGAATTAGCAAAAATTGAAGAAGATATTGAACAACTTGACTCAGCTAAAAATAATTTACTGAAAGTAAAAATTTAAATTCTTTTATTTCGATCTACTACAATAATTTCATCTCGTAGGCGAAACATTTGGATGATACATCTATTTATGCATCTCGTATTAACCTAGCATTAGAAAGACTTCATTTACGTTGTGAATTATATAAGACTCCTGAAAATATTGATGATCGTGTTGCAACAATCATTGAACAAGCTGGAAAAGCGACAAATGGAAATAGAAATAGACAACGTGCTCTACTTACTGAAGCTTGCTTATTGTTAGCACAAGATGCATTTCAAGTTGTATTAGATTCAGAGAATCCGAATGGTAAAACCGCATTATGTTTTTCTTTTAAATGAATTCTTTGACTTAAAAACAAATAATTAATACTTTTAGCTATTGGGAAAATGCGTGCAAATCCAACAGCACAATTGAAAGGTTTTGCTGATCATTATGAAAAATGTATTCAAAGTACGACACAATATGAACGTCTCATGTCGGAAACGAATCAGGATAAAAGGTAAGAATATCTTGAAAGTAAAAGTCATGTTTTAAGTCTGTGTGTATGCTTAAGATTAAAATTATGGGCTGATTTAACAATGATTGCGCGTAGACAAGAAATATGGGATATATGTCGTTCAGCAGCTCGTTTTTGTTTATTATACGATAATGAAGAACGTCGTTCGTTATTCAATGAAAATAGTGAATCAACAAAGCCGAATGTATTTCAACGTGATCTTGTTCGACTAATAGCTGAAATACATTTCATTGCTGGCGAAGTATAAATATTTCAAATTTCTGTTATTGTTAATTTATGATTGTAAATAGGCTGATATCGAATTCATTCGTGAACGTCGTATAGAATTATTTGATTCACCAGTTCGACCACCAATGCCAACAGTACCAGCTGCACAACGAGTACAAGTACAACAAGAATCAGATAATGATTGGAAATATTACTGGTAATTTTTTAAGAGTAGAATTTAAAAAGAAATCAACTATACTATTGATTGTAGTCAATGGCTTCAACAATTGTCTAGTCGTGCTTGTGCACATTTTGCAACAGGATCGGTTCTAGGTCAATTACTCAATGAATCATGGCTGATTTGTCGGGCTGGAGAATATATATGGAATTATACACGTCATTTATTTTATAGCAGCCGTTTACGACTTATTCTTGAACCTCTATCTACAATTGTTAATGGATTAAGAAAGATTGGTCATGAACGGTTAGCCTTTTTTAATTTAAAAAGAAGCATATAAACCAATGAATTTCTCTTTTTATGTAGTGAAATTCTTCTATTGATCAATTTAAGTGTAGCTCTTGGAAATGCCTATATTACGCTATTACCATTATCGCCTGATGAAGCTCAACTGATTGCACAGGCAACTCCGATACCTCAACCAGCTGCACCGCCGACAAAAAAAGGAGCCAAGTCTGATCCAGCTGCTGCTGCAGCAAACGCGGCAGCTGCTGGATCATCATCGAATACTGTCAAATTGGAAGAATTTAAAGCTGCTCTTGATGTAAGCCTTTCAATAAACAGGAAGCAACAAGAAAATTTTAATTTACGCTTCTGTTTTTTATTTGATCAAAGATATGCGAATATGCCATCAATCAAACGCACGAAGAAGTTGCTAAGCCACTTTCAGTTTCAATCCGAGATCGCCAAACACTTCTACAATTGTGGGTTACCATTAAACAGCAACTGCAACAATCAGTTAAATCATCTCTCTCGAGTATCCTAGGTGATGAAGATGTAAGTTGAAAAATATTCATTATCAAAAGCATACTTTCCATTTTGTTAGGAAAATGCAACTAGTCTAAATACACTATCACGCGCTGTCATTGCAGTTGATACACTATCACGTCTGGATAATGGTTGGCATGATGGTAAAGATGGAATGAACCTTAAACAGGTAAGCATGACTAGTACTAAGAATGATCTCATTTAGATTTGAAACCAATAACATTACATAGGGTCAGACGAGAACCTATACAAACATAATTCTTTTTCCATTCTCCGAACCTATAAGAATCCTTTTCGTTTGTAATAAGAATTAATACAAAAATGTTAAAGAATTTAAAGAAATATTCTTACAGGGCCAAATCGATTGTTTACTTCTTCTGGTTACAGTTTTGATATGAATTATTGAATAGATAATTATAAAACAGGAGATTATTTATAAGATAAGAAAACAAGTAAAACAAACAGTACTGATGGTCCAAAAATTTTTATTTGCCTCAGCTGCGCCAAGAACAGACAGTGTATTGAATAGAAACGCTGTTCTATTGATTGTATCGAAAGATACTTTTAACCAACTAATAAATACTAATGAGATATATGAGATCTTGGATATCACCCAAAAATGACAAAAAAATACACGATAGTATTATAAAAGTACAGAGAGAACCTTCTTCCGCCAGGGGATGTCTATCGTGAAATAACAGTCATAAGCAAACGCTGTTGAGCTTTATTGGATTGTCCGACTAATTAAAACCATGTCTCTAAATATTACCAACAAAGTGACATGGTTTTATCCTTTATACATGCAAAGACATGCTTTTCAACCTAATTAATTTCAATACACTAAGAGAAAAGAACTCAAATATGCTCTTATATAGTATGTCTCTATAGAGCAATAAAAACTCATAAATTTCTTAGACTGTCGAAATTTTCAAAAAAAGAAACAGCGATGTATAAATCATACATACGCACACAAACGAGATTCGAATTTCTTTCCTTTTATTTAACAAAGTAATGTTGATTTCTTCATAAATTTTAAAATAATTTATTGTTTTCTATTCATATCTTGAGAATACAAAGATGATTTCTGAACTATAGATCGATATACGTTCAAATTTAGCCTACACTAGAGTTTCTCTCTCTATGAAGTTAAAGTGACCGTAAGAAAGTTATCTCTTTTTTTTTTTTAATATACACAAAAGCATACGAATTCGTATTTCCTATATTTAGGCGGTTACTTTTGTCGGCCAATGTACATGGCCTGATCCACTTGTTGAATTACAATTATGGTGTCGATTGGGTATAGTAGCTAATCGAGCTAATGAGATTGAAACAACAGCTTATTGTCGAGATAAAACTCTTGAGTTAATTACACTTTTTCAAACACGAAAAGTAGAAAAGTAATTATTTTCCAACTGAAATAAGATAACAAAAATGAACGGCTACTTTATTTTATTCTCTTTTTCTATTAAAAAAAAAGATTTCAATTATCATTAGCTAACGAATATGTTAGTCGTGCATGTGGTGCTCATGCTGAATGTTTACTAAAACAACAGAGTGGACAAAAACAAGAACGAAAAGAAGTACTTGCGATTCTCGTTGAAGCAGCTAGGTAAAAACTTACTAGTTTCATATGTAATTTTTGTTTTGTACTTTGATTGTAATATCTTTTAGTTATGCATCTAAAGCTGATCTATATGAATTGACAATGCATTTAGCACGTTACTTTTGGAATACATGTCGATTATCAATAAAACGTAAATTGGAACGATCACTTTTATTAGATCCATTGAATGAATTTATTCATCATATAAATATTGTTGCACCAAAATCTATTGTATCAAGTCAAAATGAAAAAGAAACAGTATGACAATAAATCTTCGGCTAACGATGGAAGCTGTTCTTTTCGTTTTCTATTATTTAGAGAGAACAAAAATCTACAGCTACGGAAAATTTCAAACCAAAAAAACAGCCATTAGTAAATAAAAAAGAGAAAAAACCCATTCCGAATGATGATAATGATCAACAGCAAATAATTTCAACAGCATCGAATCCACAAGAAGATGCACAAATTCGTTCGGCGCTTTATGGCGTTTTAGTACAAATTTATATGGATAAACATTCATGGCATTCAGCATTAGATGCTATTGATAACGCATTACAAGTTCTACCACGAACACAACATCGATTGCTTTTATATAAATATCGTGTTTTAATAAAATCCAAATTAGGTTTATCAATTAGTACGGACATGCAAAAATTCCGTGAACAAGGTGAAATAGCCCTAGCTAAAATGTGGAGACAAGTAGCACTTATGGCTAAGAAAAAAGAGCATACTATTAATGCCTATCAACATGCTATTGCAACATTACAAGTAATAATTTATTTCTTCGCGTGGGTTTTACAGTACCAATGGAAACTTGTTCGAGAAAAAATAAGTTTTTAAAATGTGAGAAGTGCGTAGGTTTTCTAGTAGTTATCAATTTGAGGGTGAGGAAGATAAAATGTTTACAAAGCGACGCAAGATACAGTGCTCGTATTCAAGCTTGTCGAACGTTCATTAGAGCTATCCAGAAAAAGTGAGAAAACTTTACTATAAAAATTGGTATGAATGTCAGGAAAATCTCATATACAGACGTACAGTGCTTCTATTTTTCTTTCATTGATAGTAACTGAACGAAATCTTTTTCTTTTAAATAGAGTTTCGATAATTATTGGACGAAAATCGATTATATATTAGAACTAGCAAGTTGGTTATATAGTAATGAATATCTTGTTGATAATGTTATTGATTTAATTGAATGGTCTATTGATTTATTGTTAACTTCACCTGAAACTTATAAACAACACGAAGTGAATGCTGCCAATGAACAAGATGCCGATAGTAAATCACAAAAGCACATATTTTATTCTTATTAAATATTACAATTATGATTATTTTAGTTGACCGTAACCGTTCAGCGGTACTTAAGAGTGGCCAAGGAAATAATGAAACAACACAAAAAGGAGAAATAGGCAGTAGTCTGGATGAAGCTCATTTAGGAAAACTAAAACCTAAGCGTAATTGAATTAAAAATATTTTTTAACAAATAGGAAAAAAATCTGATCACTTTGTTTTAGTTCCTAATCATTTACAACCCGATCTATCAATTGGTGAAGTAGTTCAAGTTCGTCGTCTTGAATATTTATGTCGATGTCATATATTACTTGCTAATATGACTCGTCGAAATCAACCTGAATATGTACAATTACTACAAAAAGCTTATTGGTTTCTTATGCGATTATGGCAGGTAAAAAAGATAAACGAGAAAAATTATTTTGTTTTTTATTAAACAAAAATATATTCTTTTTTTAGCGTGGCCTATCAGACAGTATCGAAATTGTTAAAGATGCTGAAACTGAAGCAGCAATAATTACTGACGTATTGACAGCTTTAAACGATTCAGGCAAAAAGACTCAACCAAAAGGAGCACCCGGTTCAGCTGCGAAAAAAAAACCACCACAACCACCAGCAGCTGCAAAGGGCACAGATAAACAAGCGACAGTATGCATTTATGTTCTATTTTGATAAATCGTTATAATCAATGTTGAAGTTGTTGAAAGATTAACTTGATTAACAGGACGAGAAGAGCTTCATTGGAATTCAGTACATCGTTCCTACAATATCGATCTCTTATTGTAGGCGATATAAGTAGCATTCTTCACGTACAATCAATTGCTAGAGAAGACTGTAATATAATTTCTGAATATTTCATATCAAAATACTCTTCGAAAATCTACACATAATATTATCGTGAGGCGTTGGAAACTTCCTCTTGTTTCTTATGTAGCAAAGCCCTTGAACACTTTTCATGGACACTTATTTTACTTTAAAAATAGTATTTGTTATCACGTTCGATAAAATTGATTATTATTTATGTGTTTTATCTGGAACAAAAAAAAGTCTTATTCATCAGCGAGACTTTTCTGTATTATCATCTCTAACGCTGATATTAAGAATTATTTTGATCTTTTTATTTAAAGAATGCAAAGCCTGCTGCATTGGATACATCAACACCTAAAAATCTAACTGAATGGGCAATGTTTGTACCTCCTGATGATGTATTACACACGTTTAAATTAGCACAAGCAAAAGAACGAGGTTTCAATAAAAATACAATCTCAAAACCGGTTCGAAAAAAATGATTATTCTATTTTACAAAACCACATCAATATAATACGTTTCGTGTTCTAGTTGTTATCATTCTATTATTTGGATATGTTTGTTCGCCTTTTACGTGAATATGGTTATAATCATATGAGTTTACCTGTACTCAGTTTTATGCGACTTGTTGGTCAAATAGTTTTGCAGAGCTCATCGATTCGTACATATGTTTTACTTCGGTATGATCTTACTTTTCTTTTATGTCTTTATCGAATATTATTTTTCCTTAGTATTCAACAAGTATGTCAAGAATTAAATCTGCTTGAATCAATGCAATCAATCTGCCAATTAGCACGTCCATTTACTATCCGAGATGATGATCTAGCTACGTAAGATTTCCATTATAATTATAATCAATCTCATTTCCTTTGAAATATTAAATAGATCACGAGCTGAAATGATTGTCTACACAAAATTACTTGCACAACAACGTGAAGAAGAAGCTGTATTTGAATCTGCATTGGGCAGTAGTGGATTAAAAAGTGAAGCTCGCTCATATGGAACATCAGCTTATTCGTCTCGAACTTCACAAAATCAAGCATGATTTTTTATTATTCTTTTTTTTGTTCTTGTTTAACTTTTATATTATCGATAATAGGCAAGTGATCAGAAATCGTTGATAGCTGATTTACCAGGAGATCGACAAGTATTCAATAGAATAATTACAAGAAATATTTGGTTACAAACAGCTCGTCTACTCTTTGAATTAAACTTTATACAAGAATCAAAAGAAATCCTACAAGAAACACTTAAACAAGCCAAAGTAAGAAAATAAATATCTTCAATTTTTCTTTTAAAATAAAAAATCAATTTCTATTCATAAAGACGTATGACGATCATGCATGTGAAAAACGTTCTTACATTCTTTTGGGCGAAATAGCATTAAGTGAACATCGTTTTGATCAAGCTATAGATTTAGCTATGCGTGGACAAGTAATTAAAATATGAATACAAAAAGCAAACGAGATTTCTTTATTGATGTTGTTCTATTTAGCAAATACCAATTGATGAATATGAATGGTATCGATCTGTAAATACTGTCATCGAAGCTTTGAGACAAGATAGAAATTCAGATCTATATAAACAGAAAAAAGTAAAATCAATAAATGCCAATTTATGTTCTTTTTATCGTATTATTTGCATAGGTTCGGTCTTTACTTGAAACATCCATTAAACGATTGGAATCCATCGCACAATTACATGTCAATAAAATTATAACAATCGCTTATACTGCTTCACTTCTTAGTACAAAGTAAAATTGTTTAAAACTATTTTTTTGTTTATAGAGAATATTGGTACTGAAATTTCGAGAATTTAAAAAATTGTAAATCTTGAAAAATAATTCATTCATTTCTGTTTCTATTCTTTTAAGACGAATCGAAGTTGAGCTGAATGACATCTTAAATCAATCATCAGTTAATACCATCGAAAATAAATCTGTGTTCTATCATCTATCTGAAATTTTACAACAATATGATATCTCATTTTCTAATATGCTTCATCTCGATCGATACAATGATGCTTGCGAAATAATGTTGACACGATCCGTACAAATATGGAAACGCTTTGCTCGTGATACAAAAAATGTAAATGATCAAAAACAATATTTACGCCGAGCACTCAGCATTCTTGAAGAATTAACAGAAATACTTGCTGAACGATGGAATTTAATACGAATAGTTACACCACAAAATGATGTAAGAATCTCATATTCTGGTTAGAAAATAAAGTTAGAAAAAGAAAAACCATTTCATTTACAGTTATCACTAATTCAATTACCTGTTCAACGCCAATTTTGTCGTGTACAACTTGAAATTATTGATATATTACTTGATTTATTGAAAATACTTGCAAATGAAATGTTCAATGAACGTTTGCGACGAAAAAATACTCATGCTACATATTTAGTAAGAATTAAACTACTGTTTTTTGACTTTGCTATTTTCTATATAATCAATAGGCTGTACAAGATTTTGTTAGTGAAGATAAGAAGCAAGAAGAAAATAATGATCAAAATACTGACAGCGTCAACTGGGATGAAATGACAAAGTAATTCGAAATACTTTAGAATCATTTCTATTTGCATAAAAGAAATCTAAATAGAGTAATACTAAAATTGATGAATCACTTTTTGAATCGAGTCTATGTGAATTATAGAGATCTAATTATCAGATGAATATCCTAAAGAAAATCTCATGACAGCAGCCTATTACACGTTTCGGTACACCAACGGATTTGACATTGAGAGAACCCTATAACATTTATTTTAAAAAATAATGTAAAATTATAGTAATCTCACAACTTGTAGTCTCCAATCAAGAATGATTCATCAGTAGTAACAGATTTTTACGATTGTTCATTTGAAACATGTATTTGATTAAAAATATTATTTAGAGTTCTACCAGACAAATTAATTACTACAGTAATGGCTGTTCTTGAAATAGTTGGTACTAATGATAAAGCAACAAAAGCAAAGGTTTGTTTTATGATTAATATCCAAGATAATTTTACAATTTTTGGTATAGGTCTTATTCTATTTGGCTCAAGTTTACTCTATTCTTGGCCAAAACTTCGGTACAGATTATCCATTGGAATGGAATGTAACAGTCAAAGTTTGTTTCTTTAATTTGATCGATTAAAACTGAAAAGAAAATTTTGTTTTCTAGGATATTTTCGCTAAGTTAAGTGATATTCCTGTAGAAAAAACTGCATCAAAACGACTTGGCTCGCAAGCTAGTGGTCAAAATACTTCAGGAGGAATGTCTTGTGATAATGATACAGTAGCTGATGAATTATTAGTTGAATTCGCTCGACAAAAGGTTAGTGATTATTCACTGGTGACTTGTTTATTTGATTTTATCTTTCTTTCAGAATGAATTAAGTCAATCAATGTTATACTTAGGCCAATCCATGGAATTGGCCTTACAATCATTGAATATTGCATTAAATATTCAAGATAAAATACTTATTCGTGATTGTAGTTTATTAATTTGTGATACGATCGGTTTATTTGATCCAATATCTAGTATTGCCTATTTAATGTTAAGTCAAGTAAGAATTCAATTTTCTTGTCATATTTATTATTTGCTATTTTTCTCCGTTGTAGAATGCCAGTGCTTCGATTTATGCAGAAACTATTTTGAAACGTGCGTGTCATATTCCAAGCGATTCAGAACTTGCTTCACTATTTACATTAATCAATCGAATCAAACAGAATAACACTATTACAAATGCAAATAATGGCGTTATATATAGAACCATGATGGAACGATTAAAAGCCTATTGGGTATATTCCTTTGCAGTTTTAAATATTTACATTAAGTTTTCGATGACAATCTGTAGAAATAATAAGGCGATAGGCTGTTCATCTAGGTAGTTACTCTATTCAATGAACGTTCATATCCAAGGCTTGTTGAATGTAAATAATTTATCGTATCTTTGCAAATCAAATCTTGAATTCTTTTCGTAACTGATCCGAACTAGGATTTGTATTATCCATAGTATCTCATATCGCTGCCGGTCTAAAAACGAATTAATTTTAGTCAAAAAGAGTAATACGTAGACAGATAGCCTGATGGATAATCTTTAATAAATGAAATTGTTTTATGTAGAGAAGTTTCGGATGATAGTTGCCATCAAAATTGTGCTGCTTTTGGGCGAATAGCTTCATATTTTTTTAATCTATTCAGAATTCAATTAGCACACTTTTTTTTATATTTAATGGAGTTTTTGTTGGGAAAAGTCGATAAAATTGCATGACATAACAGAGTAGCTTTCTAAATGAAGCTTTATTTAACATTATATTGAGAGCACTTTTATAATTAGACTTTTTTCAAAAATAAAACAAGAATTAAATGTTCTGTTCTGTGTTCTATTTGAATAATCAAGCCTGAGTGATTCTATTCGACACAACGCACCTAAAAATGAAATCTATATTTAGAAGCCTTTCTATTACACATTTATCTTGAAATTGATTGATCATTTTCTAGGGTGAAAAATAACATTTTTGATACTTTTAGTCATGGAAATACCTGAGCATTCGACCACAATATTATGATTTAATAAAAGATATGCCACCTTCATTTAACTTTCTTATTCTGCATTATTCATCTGATAGGTTTGTTTGTATTCTGTTTTCTCGAATGGCATTGAATGATTTAATTTCTATTGAAATCTAGTGAGGTACTTTATGCAGCATTGTTCAATAGTAAAATTTCTAATGTGAAAACATCAATATCGACGGGCGCTAGTAAACAATCAAATACAAAACTAATAAGTTTGATATTTTAAATTTGAGAGGAAATTTTTGAGAGGAAAAACGAATTTTATCCATGCTTTAGGTTCAATATCTGGGCCAATAAGTCCTCAAATAATGAAAGTTAATGTTGATAAAAATAAATTAAATAATCTAATCACAAAATACAATCAATGGAAAGCAGATTATGCTCAAGCTTTACTACGATATGATGTTAAAATTCAACATAGTCGAAATAAACAAGCTATGCTCAATTCTGAACACGTTAGTAGACGTTTTAGTTTTATATTAAAATATATGCATTCTTGAAATCAAATAAATATGTAAATCATAAGGATACAACAATACTCGTCGAAATGGTTTTCAATCGAACTAGTGTATAAAGTTGATTTTTGATAGACAATGGACGGTAGAAATATAGCTGATGTTTATATGATTTTTCAAAGATAATTACACTGCTAGATGTTGATTCTTAGTGGATGTAGATAGAAAGAAATATGAATTAGTCAATTTTTGTTGAACGTCATTTTTCGTAGCATTATTTTTAAAAGGTTTGATTCATGCAAAATGGAAAATAGGAGAACATGAATTCAATTTTAGTAGCTTAAACTTATCAAAAAACAATTCAAGTTAATGAAAGATCTCTATCCTATAAACAAAAATCTCGTCGTAATTTAAAGGGTGACTTTCTGAAAGCTTTTAAACTTCGTACACACTTTCGATTGTGAAATTTCTCGTAAAAACATGCATAAATTGTAGTACAGTCTATTTATTTGAAAAGAAATTTAATTAGTGAAATGAAGTTCCTATTTCTGTTCGTTCCGTTTAAAGAAACACAACATTTTCGAAACAACTCTGGAACTACGTGAACCTTCACTGAAAGCTTTCAAATATGACTTGCTTGTTGAACCAGTATTCTTCGCATGAATAGATTCTACGAGATAAATACAAATTTGACAATGGATTAGTTTTCATCTACTTAGGTCTAACCAAAAGTTCTGCAATTTAAAAAAAGAGAAAGAGAAAGTTCGAGTTATATTTTATTAAATGTTGATAATAGTTGCCATGATTATATATATATATATCAAGTTGAACCCTTTCTAGCAATTTGTTAAAAGCTTTTTTGAACTCTTTTTCGAAAAAAATTTTAGGTACCTTGGATACCGCATGAACTAATCATATTTCATTGTTTTTAAAATTTAGTGAAATTTTGTTCGATCATGACAGTCGCGTTCTAGCACTAGTGATGTGATATGGATTTATTTCCGATAGGTTAGTCATAAGTCACCTGATGCTAGCTGGCTTATTGAAGATGAATCGTCAAAGACTTTTGTTCACGAAGGCAGATTTTAACCAAAACTTTGTTTAGTATACTCTATAAGTCAAATGGTTCTCAGTGTAGATAAAGGCAAGACTGTAGGTCACAAGTATTATATTGAAAATTATCTGAAGCCTTTTATTAATGAAATATGGAAGCAAACAGATATCAGGGCTAAAATGTACAAAATTGCTTGACGATCATCGTTTACTCCATACTTATCCAATGTTATTGATTAGATGACAAAAGAATGCATCAATATAACGTCATATCCATCATATTCGCCAGGCCTGATACTATGTAATTTTTGGCTAGCCAATTCTATTGAACGTAGTTTAACTAATTAAATAAGCGATCAGTTCATGTGATATCCAAGATACCTAAAATTTTTTTCAAAAAGAGTTCACAAAAACTTTTAACAAATTTCTAGAAAGGATTCAACTTGATATATATATAATATCATCAACATTTAATAAAATAAAACTCGAACTGTCTCTTTTTCTTTCATTTTTTTTAAATTGCAGAACTTTTGGCCGGACCTAAGTATTTTTTGATCTGTGTTACAATGAAAATCGTGAACCCGAAAAATTGGTGCTTGAGGAAATTAGAATATTCAATATCTTCAAAAAGCAATATATCCTTGTTGGTTGAAATTTTCAGAATATTCTAAATTTTACGAAACAAACCGAGTTGAGGAAGATTTCTTCTGTATTTAAAATTTTGTTCAAGAAGATTTATCAAACAACACATTGACTAGTCAATATTTTTATGTCCAATTCTATTGTAAGTCACGGCGCCCATCAAGTTATTCTAGAAATAAATATGGTCCTGCATTGTATTTTAAATAATAAACTCATTTGCAGGTTAAACGAACTTTTGTATTCAATCGTGATATTGCATCAAAAGCATTTTTACAGGTTTTTTTTTCAATATTGTCTAGTCTTATTCACATATTGAACGAATTCCAAAATATTGAATGATTTTTTGTTTTTTTCCTTGTCGTTTTTGTCATTGCATGACTTGCACTCCTTAAATATATGAATTCCTTATTGATACACAAATGTCATTTACTGATCATATTGAAGAATTTACAAGAAAATATAATATTATTTTTGTTTTTGTAGGCCGATCCAGTTGATATTAGTTTAATTAATGAATTTAGGCAACGATTTGTGGATGAATTTGTTGTCGAATTAGACGAATATTTTTCACCCATTAAATCATTACTTTCGAATTATCTTGAGTAAAAAAGAAACAAATTATTATTCGATATGATAGTTGTTCTTCTTTTTTTCGTGTCAAATTTAGATCTGAAAAGCAATATGAAATTCGATCAACACTTAGCACAGATCATCTTATTCTTGTTGTTGATCCACGTCTTGCAAGTTTACCGCTTGAATCACTCGAAATGTTTAAACATGTTCAAATTGGTGGCATTTCACGTGATTTCTCTATCCAATCTGTATATTATCGTCTCAATGCAACCATTGGTGTTGATGATGGTGCAATGCCACCCGATGGTAAGTAATACAATTTGTATTTTCAATCTGATAAAACATTCGATAATGTTTAATAAACAAAATGAGTTAACACAAGTTGCATATCGAAGTACTTTTTCTACTGTATTTTCGATTCAAACCATGATGAAATATTGAACGAGTAAACAGTCTGTACGATAAAACTGAGATTAGCACGAGCGGTTTGATTGTTTTAAGATATTTTTAAAGTTTTTCGAAATTGCTGCGGATTGAATATATTATTTTCTCATAGTCTTACCACAATTATTCTATGATCAACATAGAAAACGTAAAATAATCAAGTTATAAACTTTTGAGATATATTCACATTTTGATCAATGTTTAAAACAACAGTTAATAGTATAACACGAAATAAAAATTAACAGAAAAGGTTTTAGCCACAAGACAATCAAAAATAGATCACACGAGAAACTTAGAAATCCATTGACCCGATCGTTTCGCAAGTAAGTGATAAATGCTGAGAACATTAACAGAGTCTTTAAAGTATTCTCCTTCGTATGTAGAATTTATTAGTATGATGAAGGAAAATAAAAGATGCATTTCAGAACCTACTTTGACGAGATCATTCATGATGCTGATAAAATATTTGCATGGTAATGAAAGGGAATTGCACAGATGCCATAAACTTAGACAAAAAATAACACCACTGAAAACTATGACTTGATCAAAGCGAAAAATAATATTCCTTGGTAATTTCATACAATAGTAATAGAAGTTATCATTTAATACCAAAACGAAAGAGAAGATGATGAATGACTTGTTCGTTATAAACATTTTTAAGGGTGCAAAAGATCAACAGAGAAAATAGGATGGTTAGTATTTCAAAGATCCATCACAGACGAAGAAAAGCGCTTGAGTGCATAGAAAATTGATTTCTCTGTTTACATTTTACGAATTTGCCCTAAGGGATATGAATGAAACAGAAAATAAAAAATAACCTATATTTGAATTTTTCTGCGGAATATTTTTCAAAAAAAAAATTAAATAATACGAATACTAAATGATTCTGATGTTTCATTTCCTGGTCAAAAAGTAAAATATATTACTGCGGAATTTTTTTCAAAAAAAAAAACATTAAATAATATGAATACTAAATGATTCTGAAGTTTCATTTACTTGTCAAAAAGTAAAATATATTACTGCGAAATTTCTCGAACTATGGTATAGACTGTTTGTTTGTTTCAATATTTTAAATAACGTACAATAATGTTTTCTTTTAAATTTTCATAAAAGTAAATCAACCGAGAAAAATCGAAGAATTACTGTCTGCAAGAAACAAAATCAATCGATTTATTCTATTTTAAAAACTTGATAAAAAGAAGCATTTATTTCGTTTTTCTAGATAGTAAAAGCAAGAAAGCTGCCACTAAAGAAGTAAGTGAATCAAATCGATTATTATCTATAAGTTTACAAAACAATTATACTAGGGTGGAGACGTTTTGAGTGATTTACAAGTCGTTGATCAATTGAATACGTATTATTTGATGGAACCAGTTTTAGTCAAATCATCGGCTGGTAAAACTTTTAGTAAAGATTACTATTTTTTCGCTAACGGTCTTTCAATGTATAGATAGCAAAGTATCAACACCATTCGATTTGATCCGACAACGATTTCCTCAACTTATTGCTAAATGGAAAACAACTAAACCTGAAGGATCAACAATTAAGTACGAATTAAAATTTCGAAAACATCAATTCTTTTTTTGTTTTATCGAAATCTTCGTATCTTTTATCTATAAAGATAATAGATGATATTCGATTAATTGTATCTTGTAGAAACAGATAAATAAATTTAGATATTTTCAGGACACAAAAGAGTGTATCTCTTTCTACTCAACCACTTTCGTAAGTTTTAATAGTCCATCTATGCCCTTCTATGTTTACTATTTATCCCTGTGGTACTTCTTTATTATTCTTATATTTACCTAACCTTATCTTATTATTATTTGTATTATTTTAATAGAAAAATTCTAGTCTATCATTTTTTTCTCTTATTCTTTAGCACGGTCGAACTTGAACGTATTATTAGTGAAGCTCAAGGTATTATTTATTATGGTGTTCATACATTAAGTGAATTAGTCGGATCATATAAATGTCCAACATTATCTAAAAATGGTAAAAATTCCAATTGAATATTAAAGAAAATATATAGATTCCATGTTTAACTAGGTTGCACAATATTATGTTCATTGGATCGAACATCAACAAGTAATCTTAATACGCCGACGTCGTAAGTGCTCGATCAATTTCATATATTAATTATGACGTATGGCATTTTTAGATCATTGAATGATAGTCATTCCATCGATCTTGATCAGGCAACTGAAACAGCACTTCTATGGAGTGCAGGCGGTGTGAAATCAATATTGCTTAATCAATGGAAATCAACAATGAATGAAAATGAAAACTTACTAATCAATCTATTTACTGGTAATAACTTGTTCTGATATTTATTTTCTCTTTGTATCGCTATGAAAAATAATTTAATTTATTTTAGATATTGCAACATTACATTGTTCGTTAAGTCAAGCGTTACGTATGCATGTCTATCCTTATTTTCGTCCAGTGGAAATCGATCCAACAACGGTAGCAACAACAAAAGATGCAAAATCTAAAGGAAATGTAGCTGCTAATAAAAAAGCTCGTTCACCATCGCCAAAGAGCAGAGAACAACAACTGTCATCAGCTAGACTGAATTCTAAAACCAAAAAGAAATCCTCTTCAGTTCTTCCAACTGAGATTGCTTCCGATCCATCACAATTATCTGAGCCCGTCGAAGAAAGACAACTACCAGCCTTGCAACTTCAACAGTTGAATACTGTTATTTTTGGATTGCCAAATCTCACATTTACACCTTGACATTATTTAATCTATAGATTCTATTTCTGTTTTTATCTATCTTTTATGAATAAATATCATAAGTTACGATAGCTACTATCGCTCAACACATTCCAAGTATAAACCATTTCAACATCCTATTATCATGCGTGAAAAGCTCGTCTTGTTCGTTTCCTTTCTGTTTTATATAGACTATATGCGCACATATCGAGTTCTTTTGTATTACTTGTTTAGAAACAAAGTAAGTTACTAGTAGAACATAGCACGGAAGGAATTAGTGTTTTTTTTTAAATTAAATGCACCGTTCTCGTTTTTGCATTTTGTTTTATACTCATAAATGAAAAGAAGATATTGGCCAAATAGTGAGTTAGAGAAAAGACAATCGTCAGAGAAAGAAGTGATTATACAGAAGGATGAGAGAGAGAAACAAAAGTAACGAGAAAAGTTGTTTATCATTATTGAACGTTTAATAAACAAAAATAAAATACAAATTCATGCAAAATTCATAATTGGCTTCTTAAAATAGAACAATAGATACGGTTTTGCTCAATATTCATCAGACAAAAAATAGACTTTGATGATTGACAATAGCTAATAAATAACGAATTGGATATGATGTGTGCGTGGGTTTGTGTAGAAAAGTGAGTGAGAAGAAAACGACTCGGTTGTCATTATAGATGAATATTGATAATTGATTCGTAATTGAACAAGGTAGTCTATTTAAGATAATGTATATTATTTCCAAAAAGGAAAGTTGCAGTCACTAAGTCAAACATAATTAGAACATTCTTTTACAATTGATTCCATTGAGATATATTCAGATGCCAGTGAAAAATACTTCGGTTGGAATGGAATTTTCGTGCAAACAAAATTGAAATTATAATCAATTTTGAAGATTTTTCTCTATGAGAAAGCCAAGAAAATCTTAAAAAATCGATGAAAATTTGTTTTTTTTGCACGCAAATTCGATCATAATCGGAGTATTTTTCATTCGGTGCATGTATGTTATCGTGTTATTTATTTTTCGAATGAAATATTTTCCAAACTATGAGTAATGGCATTATATATTTTTGAAAATATCTGTATTTTTTTATGAAAAGCGATACACATGAGAGAAAAAAGTCATTAGTAAATAATCATCGGAGTCTTTTTGATTCTCAATGAGATTGACAGGTAAAGGAATGGAGGAAAAAAGGAAAGCATTATTAAAATTGCTCTCAAAGTGTCTGAAACATTATTAAACGCTGTTTGGTCACCATGTATTTATGTTTATTAAATAGAAAGATCCGATGATGATTTCTATTTTAATCGTGCTTGCATTGACACTAACATTTCAATTTTCCTCTTTTGTATTGTTTTTCTCGTAATGTCTACCTTCTCAAAAATTGATTTGCTAGATGAATAAACTCCGTGTGAAACTAATTAATCAAACTGCTCTGCTTCGTTTCTGTTGGAATGGGTCAAATGAAAAAAACAATACTTCGTTGAGATAAACATTCTCTTTTTCTCTCTTTTGGTAATTCTATATAGATATTTATATACATATATATATATAGAGAGATATATATATATGGTGAAGTCAATCAAGAACGATTAGTTTTATTTCGACTATTTTCTTTAGATATCATTTTCTCAATTATCATTGGCAATTATGTATCTATTCACCATCATATCAGCGCTTATTTGCACAGAACTCGTAATAATAGCATCAAGTGGTACGTATTGATATATTGTTTCAAAGCGATGGCTTATTTGTTGTTGTGATTCTGTTGTTTTTTTTGCATTATAGAATCAAGTGAAGCTATACCAACTGATCAATTAAATCCTCTTCAACCCTTAAAAACGTTTGATAATGATTTTTTTGAGGACAGTAGCCAAAATGATGATGAAAACGAGTATGCTCGTCGTGCAACATCATTTTTAAGATTTGGCCGACGCGGATCACCAGCAACAGGATCATTTCTTCGGTTTGGTCGTGACGGTCATCGTGAAGGAACATTTCTTCGTTTTGGTCGCTCAAATCCTTCATTCTCACGACTTGGTCGAAGTGGTAATAACGGAGGAAAATTCCTTCGGTTTGGCCGAGAGGCTCAAGACGAATCTCCAAGCAACAATTTTCGTTCTGGTCGAAAGAGCGACTTTTTAAGATTCGGATAAAATGACTTATACTATTATTTTCTTTTTCTCACGGATGTAATAAGGAAATCAAAAGACTGTAAAGATGATCAAAACGCTTTGATAAAAATAAACATTGGAAGATCATGAAAGCTGAACAAAATTTTTGATACTAAAGGAATTCAAATGGTTCATGATTTTTTTAAATAGCATGAACAAGTGAAGTTTTGTAATTGCATGAAATACATTAATCTTCGATAATAAATTTTTAACTTTTAAAATATTCATCTAAGCGTAATGTATTGTTAAAAAATTAAATAGCTTTCATAGAATAGAAACTTTAGTTTTGAACGATTTCATATGTAGTATTTTCAGATTGATCACGCTATTCTGTTATATACCTAAAGAGGAAAAATGTCTAGTTGACCTATCGTTTCGAACCGAAACTATATCTATCATACGAAAACTTATGAGCTGTAATTATTCTAGCAAGATTTCGAGATACTTACTTCTTATTACTTTGATACTAGGTTGTTACGGTAGCTTTCTTTTTGCAGAATGGGTATGTCGACTCAAAAATTGAAGATAAATTGATTCTAAAATGTTATTTTAAAACTTAGTACAGCGTTCGATCTAAGTGAGAATGAGTTTATCATCAAAAGTTTAGGTCTTTTCAATATTTCGATTCAGAAATATGAACATGTAATGAGCCGATATATAGAGATGATGCGGAACATCCGGTTCTATCATATTTGTTTCGGTAGATAAGAACATCGAAGAGATGTGAAACTTTGATAGCTAGTTCTTACCATTCAGATCTGACTACAGTACACAATGTCAAGTTGAAATTCAATAAATCAACTTTCTCTATGTTTCTGAGGGATGGGGACCATTTGATTGTGATAAAAAATATTGTAACAGTGCAATATCTTCGTAGTTACAAGCTACTAGCTCGAAAGCTTTTCAAGGTATTCATCGATCAGTTAGATGTGATCGATATATGATCAATTAAGGAGATTTACTTGAAATGCTTTGATAAAACTTGAAAACTTGTTCAGTGATAGTATAGAGTTTTTACTTCTGATGAATTGGAAATATACTGCTGCTTGAGAGAAAGTTGTTATATTTCTTATTAGTTCTTCTTGCGAAATTAGTCTTTTTCATTATTACTTCAATATTGAATATGCAGATTACTAGACGACAATGACATCCATGAGCTATTATTAGTCGAATTAAAGTAGTACTTGAAACGGAGTACTCTAGAGAATATGATTTTGTAAGAACATTAATTACTGATTATCATAATGAAGTTAAGAGAGAATATTTTAATAAAAATATAATCTTAGAATTCAGATAGTAGAATGAGGACTTTTGCTGTATAAGCATACATCGCAGCGCTTGTCAGGATTTCAGTGAAAAAAATTATTTGCAAAGAACGTCCCCTCGGGATTTATCAAAACACTGCGATGTATGTTTATAATACAATAGACAGTAGTAGAAAAAGACTTCACGTGAGATTTTCAATAACATTACGTTCCAATTCGATGCAAATTAGAAAGTAATAAGTGGTATGCATTGTCAAAAGATAGCTCATTGAATAAAAATTGGCACATAGAATTTTTTAGGAACACAAATGGTCAATATGATTTTGATAGGTTTTAAATGGGTAATATTATATAATGGCTGTAAATCGTCATCGAAGGATTTCTTTAATCGACTTATTTCGTAATATACTTATTTACATTGTTCTGGCTTAGTCATCAAGAAATATAATAGGGAAATGGATCCTACACTATATTAAGCTGTTATTAGTGTACAGTCTGTGAGATAAGCGAGGGAACTAATTAGAACGGTTACTATTATCCTTCAACAATCGTTTTGGATTGTATTTCAATAGATAAGGATTTGATTATCATATTGTGATTATTACTAAATGTTTTCATCTTATATTCCTTGAAAAATAAAATATTTTCATGAACAATGAAATTTCAAGCAAGATCTTGTGATAATGAAAGTATTTGAGTCTAAAATAAAAAGCTCTTTCATAATCGTCTGTATTATACATCTCATTAAGACAGCGGAAGAGGAAAAAGCATTCAACGCAATATAGAGTATTCACTGAGATGGCACAAATTTCAAGCATAAAATATAAATAAAGCTTTTAATTAATCAGAAAATGAAGTAAAACTGATACGTGCAAATTGTTATTTATTTATATATACATGAACTTCTGACCCGATCATTGCCATCATTGGATTAACAATTTTAAAAACAAGATTTCACAAATGATCATTCGAAAATAGATTTTTACCCGGCCGTCAAATAGTTTTCATCAGAAACATTTTGGAATATGTCAGTACCTAATTTCATGCATACATGAGATTGTTTTGAGTTAGAAGAATTAAAGTGCTTGCTGCTGTTGTTGTCATTTAATAAACATTGAAAAAATTATTGATGATATATTCATCAATTCACATGCTGTTCGTTTAAATACTGTTTTTGATAAATTAGAATGCCTTTTCAAATCGACGATGAGTATTACTTTTCATGATCAATTTCTATCAGCTTCTTGTGTAATTCATCGTTAACAGAAATGCTTCTTTATTATTCTTAAGAGAGTTTACAGCTTATTCTCATTCTTGTCTTCTCACTAAAATTACCTCGGTTATACATTATCAAGAGTTACTCGGCAAAGCAATATTGAATATTCGTATTTTTAAGTAAAAACACAAAACTCTGATAAAACACATCAGTTAATATTGATGTCTGAACTATAATGTGCTACAAGAATCAAGTGGCGAATGATGAACTTATCCAGAAGAATATATGATGATCAAAACTTTTGCTGTTTGACAATAAAATTTCAACCTTTGTGTTTATTGCGACGGTTGTCTTTGTGAAAGAATGCAAAGTTCAAGGTTGTTAATATTGCAGATGCAAGCCCAGGTCAATGATTCCGGAGGACGGATACTGTAGGAACCGGCCGGAAAGATGCGGAAAAATCACCGTATCTGGCCGGAAAGCATGGGAAAGCACTGGAAACTGGAAGCAGTATTCCAGTTGGAAGTTACCGGATTTTTTTCCTGTGGATTCCGGTCAGTTTCCTGTGTTTTCCGGTCAGTTTTCTGTGTTTTACATCTGGAAGTTGATCGGAATCTACAGGAAGAAAATCCGGTAACTTCCAACTGGAATACTGCTTCCAGTTTCCAGCGCTTTCCTGTGCTTTCCGGCCGTTTCCCGCCGTACGTCCACGACATGGGAGGCAATGAATCATTTATCGAATGTCATAGACGGGATGAAAGCTATTGAGTGAAGGTAAGTAGGTGAAGAAAAGCTTAATAAACATTATAAAAGAAAAAGAACGAAATTAAAGTGACACATACGAGCAAAAAAAGAGAAAACCTATGTAAACCCCCCTACAGAATAGAAGCCCGTGGGTGATGTGTCTGTTCCACAAGCTATAATTTTGTAACAAAGCATGCTCTGATGCCAGTTTTTGCGTTATTTGATAGAAAAACATTCATCCTGTCATTTGCCATCGGTTTTAGTTCATTTTTCATGAAGTAAACCTTGATTCTCAACGGATAAATCTAACCCAGAAGGTGGGTGTGACGCCACCATGTGTCGTCACATGTCTTGTTTCTGATTTCGCGCGAGTTTCTCGCTATATATTCTTTTTCTCTCTCTCGTCTTTATCGCTTTTTCTTTGTCGCGTTTTGAAATTGAACTATGTTATGTTTGGCGCGTCTAGTTAGTAGATACATTTGTTCTCTCTATGAGAGTGTGAAAATTATTACAAGAGCTTAAAGATATATATATATAATACATTATTTGATTCCATCTAAAATATCAACTATTAGAAGAATCATTATTCGTTTTAATCTTAATAATTATATGAAACTAACATTGCCGAATTAACTAAACATCGCAGTGGGCTTCTATTCTGTGTAGGGGTTTATCATAAAAATGATCAAAATATGTAAATTTCATAGAATGAAAACATTATCAAGTTGACTTCAACCCTTTCTTTATAGTGTTTAGCCATCAAATAAAACGATGCACTCATGTAAATCATGAATTTGATACATAAATTAAATGTATTCATAATTAAATTCTAATATATCATCAGCTTATGAAAACATGAAATAGTGTGAGTATCTTTTGTTTTGTTAGCAGGGGACAGAAAGCTGCTAGTAGAATGCGTTAAAGTCGTGTTTATGGCGAATAAAATAACAATGAGCGACTATCTGATTTTGTTTCTGTCGATTTTATCAAAACAGTCCAGCTCTTTATGTTTTCTATCAAAATATAAAATTGACGAATGTTAAAATATGTGGCGAGGGTCAATCATTGTCATCATAGTGCTATTCAACTTCGTTTTATGTTAGAATAGTTCTCACGATACTTTAATGTATCAAAATTAACTTTCCCTTTATTATTTCGTAAATTTAATTTATAAAATATTAGATTGGTGATGCATCAACAGCAAAAACACTTTGTTCTGAGTTGAAACTTTTTGTTTTTAATAAGAAATAAAATGCGTAAGATTTCTTTTTCTTTATTTTGTTTCTTTTTTCAAAGACTTTTTAATACAGGTTCAGATGTAGATCTTTGCGCCTACCAATTTTAACTCCTTGTCTGTACAAATTTGAAAATAGACTTCAATGTCAGAACAGGAAGACACAGGAGAAAATCTCACAAATTTTATTTTTATTCCAAACCAGAGAAATTTTCTACGCGAATGTAAAACGTTTTACTTTCGATACATCCATGATTTTATATCTTTTATATGATATTCAAGAGCAATCAAGGTAGAGATAGTGATTGTCTTGTAGAATATCACGTTTAGAAAAAAAATTTCGTTCTGTATTCCGGAGTTATAAATAAATACTTGGAGTCAAGGGTAAAATTATTGGATATATAAAATTTTTTCAATACCTGACTTTTAAATTTTTTTGATCGCAATTTCAAAAGAAACATCTACATTTTCGTGTTAATAAAAGTTGAAAACAATAATCAAAACAGATATTTACGAGAAATTGAACCTTTGCTCGTCTAAATTTTCTTTTACATTTATGCACAGATTTTTCGTTTTTTTTCTTTGAAATTTTGCGACCTCAAGATTTTCTCAAAATATGCTTTTTCAGTCGATATGTAGTAATAATAAATTCTGTGCGATATTTCATTGAGAACAGTTTAAAACACATATTTTAAACTAAAATAAATGTAGAAACTTCGGAATTCATCCGAGAGTTATGTGTAATGCAAAAAGTGCATGGGACATATGAGTCATTCTAGAATGCCTGAACACCAAAATTATCATGAGAAACTAGGCAATTTGATTTCTGGACGCAGTTTTTGTGCATTTTGAGACGTTTTTCAGGCGATGCTCCGTTAGAAAGCTACGATTTAGTTCAAAACTAATATCAGATTCGGAATCAGCGTTAAAAACTGAGTCGATTCATATATATTGTGAATAATACTGAGAAAAAACATTTTTTTTTGAAAAATCTCTGTACTCCCCCTCAGGGATGGTCTGATCAAAAATGACAATTTTTTCGATAACTCAGCCATTTCTTCACAGATTGCTTTCATCTTCGAACTTGACTGAGACATTGATGAGATCATTCTGTGTACAAAATTTCATGACAATTGGATGAGGCTTTCAAACGTTATCGTGTTAACGGCCGGACACACTGACCGAATCTAGAGTGCACTCATTTTTTTTTGGAGTACACAAAAACACAATATATATTGCCAATAGAATGGTAGATAATTTTAAATCATTTAGTCTAAAGAAAAATGTTTAAATTTTCAAGGTAAATTGTTTCTTAGTTGTTTTATATAAGTCATTAGCAGTTCGAAATTGAAATAGGTATTTTCTTTTTTGCGTTCTTTTTTCTCGCGGTTGAATGCTACTGATCGGGTTACTTTTAATGATATTTTTTTGACATGTTTTAATGATGTTATTTTTTACTATTCCATAGGAAATGTAGCTTTGAAAATATTTCAAAAATCTTTTAGAAATTCAAACATGGTAAATACATGAGGCTCTAATAGTTTCAATATTAATCCAAAATGTTTCGTTCTACGCCATTAGAAGATTTCGAACTGCAGTTATGAAAAACAAAATCGAAATCAGTACAAGAAAAACATGCACACACTACTGTGATTCATAGTGTAAACTAATCGCTGTCAAACTTTGGCCCTTTCAACATGACAGCCTTATTTTCGCATCGTCTAACTTTTTACCTGAAAGGTTACATTCATCGGAGATCAATTTTAAGCATTCAAAACTACTACTCGATGAATATTTTATTTTCTTGGTTCTATAGATAAATTTGCTATATGCCGAACTAATCGATTTTTCATATCAAGTAAATAATGCTGATAAAAAAAACATACATTTGTTTTTTTGGCCAAATTACAAACAAGATCAAAAACGATATAAATAAGTATTGAGGCTATAAGAGCTAGATGCGCTAGACGCATTTGAATTCCCGTCGTAGGCTTTCTTGATGAATTATAAAGCTAATCATTCTGCATTTCACAATGAAAAGATTGTTACAATATGTCTAAAACAAATTTATTTGAAACGACTAGATATATTATTCAAAAACGTGAAGACAAGAAAAGAAAATGCGTTCGGCTCATTCTCATCATTACTCGAAATCTATATATGTCATTTTCTTATCAAAGAAATACTGTTGGCTTTAACAGACTGAATTCTACAAAAATGTTGATGAGTACTGTATAAAAATTAGAGGAAAATTTTGTATTCTGTTATATAAAAATAATAGAAGAAATCTATTTAAAAGACTTATTTTTAACATTCAAAGTAATACATAGTTTACTGAATAAACTTCTGTCGAATATCATGCTTCCAATGAAACATAATATCAAATTAGAGAATGGTTTTTACGATAATTAATCTATTTTGAGTGCTCTCACTTGACATTTGTCGCAGCACAACAAATTCGCAAATATAGTAAAAAATCATTCAATTTACTTTTAATGCTTTCGCAAGAGTATAGGTGAGTTTCGCGTCTTTCTTGCTTTATTTCATGACTCAGTGTTTCGTTATTTTTGCTTTTCTATGATGCACTGCTTTTGCTTTCTTCATTGTTTTGATGTGACAAAAACATCGAATAAAAATCATAGAAACATGATTCAAGCTGCTAGAATAGCGAATAATCATGTATGCTTTTTCTTTCGACTAGCGTTCGAAAAGCAAAATATGCGACCCTATTGAGTAAAGAGAACATTCCACGACACCCAGCGAGACTATAAATCCAGTCGTCATTTTTTTTTCATTCATTCTCTTCCTACTTCTTTTTAAAACAACACAGCATTGCGAATTTCATTCATCAAAAACACACACGATAAACAGCTACAATTGTCATAGGTAACAAAACAAAACGCATCTCGATTAGTATATTTTCTTCACATGGGCAATACACCAGGACCGAAGAATAAAGGCAAAAATATTGTAAAATGTCTGGATGTTTTCGACGTAAAATGGATTGAAACATTTGAAAAGTCATTCGTATTTGTTTGGTGCGACGCAGCGATTGGTACCGACAGTAATATCGACGATTATTTAAATACTATAAAACAATTAGCATGTGTTCTAAATCCAAATCGACAACTTGTACATACATTCAATGAATCCAATGCCTGTCTAGACTTTATCAAAGATGCCAATAATGTATGTTTACTTGCATCAGGCGGCATGGGCCAAGAACTTGTACCAAAAATTCACAATTATGAACAAATGCATTCAATTTACATATTTTGTATTCAAAAAGAAAAGCATCTTGCATGGTCAAGACATTATCCAAAAGTTCGCGGTGTATGTACGGAAATCAATGAAATATGCGAATCATTAAAACAGCATGTAATGGCACGATCATCAGCTGAGTACGATCGAATTGAATTTGATCTTATCACTATGGAAACGGATCCAGTAAAAATAGAAAAAAAAAATATTTTTTTATTTTATTCAAAGATCAATAGAGCAATTGTATTGAATATGAATTCATCTGATCATGGAAAACAAGATATGATTAATTATTGTCGAAATGAATATAGAACCGATCATCAATTGGAATTAATCAATAATTTCGACTTAAATTATGCAAAATATAATCCTATATATTGGTATACGAAAAATTATTTTTTGCAAGGTATTATTATTAGAGCATTACGAACAAATGATCTTTATGCTTTATATTCCATGCATCGATTCATAAAAGATTTAGATTCAAAACTATTAGAAACAAGTGATGTTCAAAGAATAGGAAATGAACCACTTAATCTTTTCTTTGGCCAATTCTTATCTGAGTATGACTTTGATAAAATCAAACAAAATATTGGTGGATTAGTGTCAATCAATCAATTTGTATCTGCAAATCCTGAACTAAGTATTGCAGTCATGTATATTGACCAACAAAAAGTAGTCGTATCAAATGGTAATACAGTTCGCGTAGTTTTTCAAATTCATATTGATGAAACAAAGAAATCAATTGTTCCATACGCTAATATTGGTGCTAAAAGTCAGTTTGTTCATGAAAGAGAATATCTCATATCAATTTTTAGTGTATACCGTATTAATAAAATTGAAAAACTTATTAATGTATCGTCAGCATGGATCATACACATGACATTACTTAATAAAAATGATCAAAAATACAGTAAACTAACACAAAATATAAACACAAACAATATCGACGATGTCAATTTAACCGATGTTGGTTATACAATTATGAGTCGATTACATCTATTTAAATCAACTACTAAATTATTTAAACAAGCCCTATCTGATAATCCTCAAGCACTTCGAGCAATTATTTTACATTATAATATGGGTATTATTTATGATGGTATAGGTGAATATGAAAAGGCATTGGAAGAATATACAAATGTGCGAAAGATTGGACGCCTTCATATACCCAATTGTGATCTACAAGATCATATTTGTCTAGTACCATTATATTCAAATAAAGCATTAGTTTATGAAGAACAAAGTCAATTTGATCATGCACTAACACACGGATTTCGTGCTTTAGAAATCGTTGAAAATTATCCAGAAAGTAGCATATTAAAAGAAGAACTTAAAAGTTCATGCTATTATAATCTAGGTTCAATACACAATCAAGAAGGAAAACCAATTGAAGCACGGAAATTTTATCAAAAAGCATTAGACATTCGACAAGCATATTTACCGCTGGGCCATCCAGATGTAACTATTTTACAGAGACTTATTGCATTACTTCCCGAAACTCAAGTCGAAGCATTCTAATGTTTGTTAAAGTGAAATTATGATGAATGTAACCTACAACTTGGAGAATTTTTCATATTTTAAATTTAAACTTGGTTTTAAGCTGTCTGATCAAACTTACATTTATTGGTTAGCAAAACAAATTCTTTTTTTTTTAATTTATAAATGTACTGTGTGAATTGTAAAGAAAGATTTCTTCTTTTTTGTGTACTCAAAAAGCGAGTACACTACTAAAATCGGTCAGTGTGTCCGGCCGGCCGTTTATTCGATAACTCTTCACAATTGCATTCGATTGAGCTGAAATTTTGTACACAGAATGATCTCATCAATGTCTCAGTCAAGTTCGAAGATGAAAGCAATCTGTGAAGAAATGGCTGAGTTATCGAAAAAATTGTCATTTTTGATCAGACCATCCCTGCGGGGGGAGGATACAGAGATTTTTCAAAAAAAAATGTTTTTTCTCAGTATTATTCACAATATATATTAATCGACTCAGTTTTTA